GGCTCTTGTTCACTCTGTCCCACAAAGATAGGCTCATACGCAGTTGCGCATGGAACAATTAATTTCATCTTTGTGTGCGATGGAGAAGAAACAATAATTGGAAAATTGTTTTTTTTTGGGGGGGGCTGAAGTAGTAATTTTCAGGGATTTACTCACGTCGATTTACTCTCGGTTGCATCAATTGTGGGCATTGGCCATTGAAGCGACTTGCAGAGGCTGAAAAGTGAAGACCTTGGTCCTCCCTTTTTCATGTTTATTGGTGGAATTACTGCAAGAGAAAATAAATAAACAGCTTAGAGTCTCAATGAACAAAGCCAAAAACATCATAGCATATCATATTATTATGTTTATAGATAATCCAACAAAATGGTTGATCTATGCTTTTGATTTTCATGACCAGTTGGTAAAGTTCAAATGGAGGAGATATCAATCCCTATGAGAAACACGTAACCTCGTACCTCGAAGACTGGTGTTTGATTTGCAAGGATTGTCGTTGCCGTTAGTGGTTAACAAGGGAGCCGCTGCCGCTAAAGGAACAGTAACAGCATCTGCAGTCTCTGGTCTATTCTTCTTTGATGAGACTCCTCTACTCTGTAATCAAAACTAGAGTGAGGTACATCCTTTTACTCTTTAGTCAACTCCATCAACGTATGAGCTTTGTTATGAATGGTTTCTTTACACCCTTAAAACTTGCTTGGAGTCATTGACTAAGGATTCGTTTGGGAACAACATTTGTGATTAACTTCAGTTTTTAGATATTTCTTTAATGATGAAGATAAACTTTCAAAATGCTAATGCTAAAAGTTGCCGTTGGATAGCAATTATTAAATGTTAAAGCTAATGCCACTTGGCTTTGCAAAAACTTTTACTAACAATAAAAGTTCAATTTAAAACCCGGATTCTTTTTTGGGACAATAAAAGTCGAAACATGACTCTCTTTGGGATGTGTGAGGAGTACATGTTAGCACAAGCAGACTAGAAAGAAATGGAAAAAAATGAGGACATTTCAAGTATCAACCTTTAAGTCTTTGAGTAGACAAAGAGCGGCCTTCCCTTTAGCATCCTTTCTGCACAGTCCAAGACCCTCTGCAACAACCAAAGCATCTTCCAACTGGACTTTAAGTTCGGCATGCGCTGCTTCCCCATTACTTTTCCAATCAACATTCAAAAAGTAGCCCGAAGAGCTACAGAGTTCAATCAATTCCCTATAAGGAGGAAGTTCTAGACTTTCAGGAGTAACAATGGGTGAGAGTATCGGTTCAAAGATTTTCCAAACTTTGTCCAAGTCAAGTCTGGTATCAATTAGTATTGCCCCGGCAATACTTTCCACCAGGTCTCCCAGTTCCTGTCAAATAATAACAAGAAAGTTCGCGCTGTGGATTAAAAAACCACTAAGGGGCCTATAGAGCCGGGGAAATTCTATTTGGGGTTAGAGGCAAAGGGGTGCTTGAGAAGATATTTGGAAAGGAGTTTATTCTGGAGATATTAAAAAAATCATAACTACCATTAAAAATTTAGGAGTCTGTTCAAACTCATTTTGTCTAAGCCGGGGTCTCGTGGAAAGAGCCTCTCTATTTCATAGTAGGGATTTCCAGACCCAACTTTTGTAGGATTCTACTGGGTTTGATGTTGTTCTTCAAACTCATTTTGCTTATATTAAAATATAAATATTGATAATTAATAAAGCCTTAGTCAAGTTTGATTCTTTTAGTTTTTCACAAGAAAAAATGAAACTTAAAAACAATATATTCCTTATCAGTATTTTCCATCCCCTAACATTTCCTGAGTTCCACATATTCCAAGTAATTTTATAAACCTTGGGAGCTTTCCCACCAACAAGCAACTCCGCGGTGCAGCTAGAGCTAGATATTGTCTGCTCAAATTCCAATATTTGGAACTCAAGACTCGTAGAGCAGTGCTGAAGATGAGGATGAAGGTTTGCCCTAACAGCAGCAAGAGCAAAATTTGTGTTGTTGACCGAGGCAGAACGTAAATCTGTTAGCTCCCCAGGGTCAAAATCAGTGTGGTTTTGATAGAGATACCGAGTAATAAGGATGTCTAATACCGCATCTCCAAGAAATTCAAGCCTCTGCAACAGGTTTAACAAGAGAAAACGGACAGAATTAGACACAAAAAAAGATCAAAATTATGATTTAAGAATAAATATCCCACTTTAGTCTACATAGAAACAGCCTCTACTTCCAAGTAAGGGTAAGGTCTGCGTACACACACCCTTCTCAGACCCTACTTTGTGGGATTTTGCTGGGTTTGTTGTTGATGTTTTGCTCGCGAGTATTAGGTCATGGTCTTCCACATTAACATCATCAATAACAACAAAGTCAGCCTAACCCCAACTCTCTTGGATACAACCTTACCCCCAATAAAAAACAAAGACGATGTCTCTGTTAGACCCTTGATGCATTGAGGCATTTACTGCCCAAAATTTCATAGAAAGTAAGAGGCAGGGAAAGATTAATGTGCCATTTTTGTTTTAGTACATTATTTACCCAGAGCTAAAGCATTGTCATGGATGACTCTTTTAGCCCCCATTGGCAATGAGCGGTAAATGTGGGACTAAAAGTGGAATATCTTCATGATGTAATAAAAGCAAGGATATTTATGAAATGAGCAACCTCGTAACAGCAATTGATGCCTAGTCCTTGCTTAGTTTTGTGGGTTATTGCTTCTAATAACAGCCCCTTGACAGAAAATATGTAACCAAGTTTTGACTCGAGGCTATCAATGGCAGTAGAGGTTGGAGTATAGGAGTGGAGAGATGCAGCTTTTAGGGCATCATTCACCATGGGTAGATTGTCAAGATCAATATCCACACCAATCCATTTCATCAACTTAAGAGAAGAAGACAAACCGCCGCCTACATAATATGCTCCTATCAGTGCTTCAACACAGTCAGATATAGTTTTTGATACTATCCATCGGTGGCCTTTATCGCAGCACTGTCCGAATTCAACCTGCTCATCATCTCTGGAGAAATCGTTGTTCACTGGCACCTCTAAGGTGTCAACCCCGTGTTTGCATGGAGACGGCCAAATAGAAAGCTGTCCTGGAGCAGCCCAAGTGCGTGGAATGAATGGATGGTTTAGTATATATCCCTGCATATGTAAGAAAACAGTATGTTTAGATACAGCAAATTGTTGTAAAAGAAATTAGATGAATGTTATGCACAAGCAACCTTGGAAAAGACAAGCATTTAGATGTTGATTCAACCCATCTTCTATGAAAACAGGGATTAAGCTTGCAAGAATTTTTTTTTCTTTTCGAGTGGGAAATTTTTCCATAGTCATTCTCAAAAAGTCAAGAAAATGAAATTCGAGAACAGAACAAGGAACAACCTAACAATAGCCAGACCATCTAGGTTAAAATAAAAATTTCATTATGTATGAATAAAAAATCTAATGATTTGCTTGCAATTTTTATAATTGATGATAAAAATTCACTCAATTTGACTACAAAAATGTTAAACTGGGCAAATACTCCAGGAACGAGTAGTACCTAGTAAATAATAATAATAATAATAATAATAATAATACCTGTATATTACGGCTGATGCCAAGCTTATGAAGTGTTGCATTGCAAATTCCCCATCTACGCTTATCAGTTAGTGATCCTTCATCTATATCGGGATATTTGAGGAAAAGGTGACAGCTTAGAGCATATTTCAAAACTGAATCTCCTAGAAGCTCTAAGCGCTCCATGGACATACTTTCATTACACCTCTGAGTTGTTAGAGCTTCTAGAATCTAATCATAATAAAAACATGCAATTATAGCACCTAAAGGGATAATAATAATAATTAAGAAACATGATTAAGCATAACATTTTCACCAAAATGAAGAATATATACCAATGAGCTTGGCACATGTGAATCTCCATAATGACAGCAAATCTCTCTTCTGAGCTGGCTGGCAAGCATTAGGGACTGAAGTCGATGCATTAGTGAAGGGAGCAAGTAAAATGACCTTAAGACATCCAACCTAATATCAATACTGATTAGAAGTTCAGGTGGAATGTGAACATGCTGCTGTGGTTTTATGTTAGGCATTTTCCCACCATGCTTTGATTCCTTTCTCAGGGACAAACCTGAAAGAAAAGAAAACCAGTAACAGATGCTCCCATAGAAATCCTCCAAGGACATAGGCACTGTTCATAATCTGAAACGGGCTGAAAATTAAATACGGAAATTGTATTTTAAGGAAAAGAGTTCACCTGTATTTCTGAAGTCTTCCAGAAGATTGTGAGCATTATGACTTTGCTTTAACAAGAACATTGACTGTTCAGGAAACGACAGAATAATCCTGTACCTGATGAAGTGATGAACAGTAATGGCGTAATGCACCTATGGTGAGTTCAAAATGTTATTCACACATCAAAGGGATGCAAGGTATAAGTACCTCTTCTGGAAATAGTCTTCATATGATGAATAAATTGATGGAGTTTCATCAGTGCTACCTTCAAATGGACTTCTAGAGGATGAATTAGTCACGGATTCCAAGACAGAATAGATTCTTCCAGAGTGGATAGCAATGACAACCATACCCCTCACGCTGCTTCTATGAACTGCTTTATTAGCCATTTGAATCTGCTCTGTTGCATCGAAATCATTTCTATGCATGAAACAATTTCTCCTGTTAGCTTCAGACAACTCAGCACTATACCAAGCATTTCTCTTCAAGAATTCCACAGCAGAAACAGTTGATTGAATTCCATTCCAATCAATGCATAGTGGTTCCGGACTAGAGTCTAAGGTAACAATGGGTAAGAGCAAGTACATGTATGATTTCTCCCACAAAGATCTATCCATGTCCAATATAAGCTTCCTTTCACCCGAGGCACGGGTAAACAGTTTCCCAAACAGACCGTTAAAGAAAAATTCCTGAAACTGTTTTGCTTTTGTGACCTGATAATGAAGAGTAACTTAATTTAATGCTTATCGGAATGTAAAACACCCCATTTTTTTAGAATTAAGTGCACATGTAAGAATAAAAAGTAGAGAAAACAAAACATCCATACCTGATTTGCATCCAGACTTATTTGCCCAATTGAAGAGATAAAAGCTTTAACATTTCTTTTCAGCAAATAGAGTTCCACTTCAATGTTTCCAACATCATCATCTAGCTTTGATTCCATTAAAAGAACAAAACTAGAATAGTTCACTTTGGGATCATTAGAGCAGAAGTCCATTCTGTATGCTTGAAACTCTACTTCAGCTTCTTCGACCTCTCCCCACATTCCAGCCAATGCACTAATGCTGGCTGTCCCGTGCAATTCCTTTCTCTTTGTAGTTCCTGGAAGCATTCAATAGATAAATGCAGGTCAAACTATTTAGAAGACGTTATTGGTACTAAACAATGAAACAGAAGGCAAAAATTCACTTAGGACAGTTACATGGTGATGGTACAATAAGAGAACAAACGCTGGTGTAAGTTAGTACTGACCAGCAGCTGAAGTTGCAACTTGACAGGGTGGATCAGAAATCTTTTGGGGGGTAGGCTTTGTGCCAGTAGGAAGGAGGTAGTCATTCAGTGCCCCCAACTCGTGCAGTTTTTTGCAAGCCTCCAAGCATGCAAGTTTTTTGGCAACACGAGCGCTCAAACTATCAGGACCAATAATGGTTTGAAATGCTGCATCTGGCGGCAATGTCAATCGGCACCTATACAACTGCTCTGGGGACACAATGGTCTCAAATTCTGGCTTTGGAGTGGCATTCCTGTGGGGGTGACATTTTTATACCATAATCTGTAAATTGAATTATAGATAAACAGCACAAAAAAAACAAACAAACCTTTGGTACCAGCTTCAATATCGGGTTGGAGAATGCAATTAGTGTAACTTTATGGACTATTGAACATTATTAACTGGTTACACCCATTTCATTCCTCATCAAAGCATGAATCAGTAGACAGACCAATAGTGTGAAATCCAGTTTTTTTATGTAATTTTCTTTAATTCTTAAATTTCAAATTCTGATTTATTCCACTGTTCCATTCTCCAAATAATTTATATTTTCCAAAAAAAGTATTCAACTCTGTGGAAAATAAAGTTCATCTGATGCAAACTCTTATGGCCTGAAGTGTATTTTGCATTTTTCGCACGCCTAAGAAATTTGACATGTTTGCATACCATAAACGCATTAACTAGTATTAAAAGTTTTACTAAAATGGATGCAGTACTAGATATATATTCGGTAAGAAGAATTCATACTTGTCTCCAAGCTTTTGACAATATCGATTTATCAAACTGATGCTTGAATCGACACCTACAGATGCACCTGTTGCCTCTACACAATATATATCACTTTGCTTCATTCCACATTTTATCGGAACAGAATCACAGTCCTCTTTTATTTCCACTGTATCCACCACAAAACACTCATTGCATATCAAACGGAACATTTGATCTTTCTGTTCTATGTTACCCCTGGAATGCAAACAAAATGTTCTTTGGCTTAAAGATTTTTTTAAGAAAATATGAAATTTAAACAGAAGATGCGATTTTCTCCAACATGGCATCATAAATTCTTATTCCTGAAAGAGAATATTCATTTCACCTTTCAAGCATTGTTATGTACTTCAAATCCTTTCGACAAGCTTGTTTTCTAGAGTGGGCATAGCTAGAAACTGAAGTTGGCAAATCAAATCTTATGACAGAAGAGCACTTGGGTGCATTAGTTTCCTCCATAACTGCATCCGCCATAACTGCATCCGTCGTAAATATTATATCCACCTATGAAAAACATGGTAGTCAAACATATAACTCATCTGCTGACAGCTACACAAATGCTAATCATGAGAACTGGTAATACCACTTTAGAGCAAAAGGACCCCAAAGTTATTGTCTTTGCAAGTCTCTCAACTACTTTAGCCGTTATAATGCTTTCAACATATACTACGCATGGTACTTGATCTGGCCTGCATGCCAGACAGGTAACAGATCGTAGCAAGGAGAAGGGAGAAAAGCATAAGCCCGACATTCAAAACTGAAAGTTATAAGTGGTTCAATCAGGTATTGTTACCCGAATGATTTGAGTATCTCAAAAAGCAAATATAACTTCGGAGTTATATAGCCTTTGGTGAAGGAAACACAAGGATCAAAACCAGAAGCTGGAGGCTTTTCACAGTCTGCAGAAATGAAGGCAAATGCAATGGTTAATAATCAAACATAATGAGATATACAAACTATCCAAGAGACTAACAGTCAACCACATCTATAGCATCGATATGACAATACATTACATAAAATGGAAACATTGTAACCAAACCAATAACTTTATGCATAAATGCCAGTTATATTAGTCAATTTATTGTGCAGATAAATGACGTTTGTGATGAAAATTTTATGATGAAACAAATACATTATAATGCCACCATTTGGAAAAGAAAAAAAAGCCATGGCTCAAATACTTAAAAGGACATCCATTAAAGGATTTGATATGGAAACAACAATCATGACATTTAAAAATATCTTCTTTCTGAGAATGTTATAATAAAAAAAAGTAGTGCTAAAAAACAAGAGAATCAGTCTGTGAAATGAGGAAGTGCAAGCCACACAAGATCAACAAATATAAGTTACAATTCAAAGATTTCAGGTTAATACCATTCTGTGCAATCTAATATAGAAAATTGGTACACAAATTAATTGATAACACGGATGCTCAGAAGTAGATTTAGGAATGCTATAACCAAAAATGTAAAAATACTACCAAGTTGCAGTGACTCATCAAGAATTGATATTACTTCCTCAAGAAAATATCTGCACTGAGAGGAACCATCCCTGCATTCACATTCTTCTCTATCATTAAGAATATTTTCCAAACAAACTTTAGCAGCCTACAATTTGAGATATCAAGCCAGGCATCAGAAACAACAAGAACCACATTAGAAAGACTTCAAGAGAGAGAAATAAAAAAGATGTCCATTTTACTTGTAGCAGCTTCATTCTATGAGTTTTGGACAAAAAATGCTTCAATGCATCAAGGGTCTAACGCAACCTCCTCTCTATTTTTTGAGGGTTAAGGTTCCGTACATGATGACCCGAAGACCCCAATAGGGTTGGGATTATACTGGGCTTAATTGTTGTATGAGAAAAATGCTTCACAAGTTATACGGTGAACCTCAGCTCTTGTTCCTCGCATACTTTGATTAGTTTGTGACTTTGTGCTGATGGTTTGGGATGTAAACGGATGTTGAAAATCTGAAATTGGTTTAGGGGTAAAAGGACTTTTTATACAAAGTGATGAATCATCTATCATCATCACCAAGCACAACAATCCTATCAACGTTGAGATTGTTGGTGAGAAATGTAGTGTCAAGTTAGTTAACACTAAATTCATGCAAAACGGCAATAGCAAAGTAACAAGTTCTCCTCTTCATATCATATACGTTGAAATTTCAACGGTTATCATCATAGTTTACGTACATTATTAAATAACCAATTGTCTTCTGAAGTCAAAAGTAATAAATAAAGTGTCCTCTACATGTCTTTCTCCTACCGCCTATTTGTATTGGATCCCTTTATATATATATATATATATATATATATATATATATATATATATATATATATATATATGAATAGTTAAACAACAATTTAGTTTCATGAATAGTACATATTTAGTTTCTAATTTAGAGGTCATAAACACATAGTGCTTGCATGATAAACAACAAAAAGTGCATTTTAAAAAATGTGACAGTGCCAAGAATGTTAAGAAAACTACTCTTTTTATTATTTTCATGTTTCATATAGAACCATGAATTTGATTTCAAGTATAGCTTATTTTCATGGTTTTAAGTCTTAGCAAGCAGAGTTTTATGAATGTCAGATGCCACATTTATGTAATTATGTCATTATCATTAGCATATCTATGTCTGATAATTCAAATAAAGGTTAGATATCACATGAGATAAATCCCGTAGATAGCATCACCTCAAGTGCAGGTATAGCCCCAAGATTATGGAGGCAATGTGCAATACTTGCATGATCATCCGACAATTTTTTACGCAACTTTTCATATTTCGAGCTGGAATCAATAGAATGACTTGGTGATAACAGCCATAAGACTTGCAGCTTGAGTAAAACTGCATCAAACTGCCACAAGATTGACATATTTTTTTAAAAAAATGGATACCCAAAAAAAGAAAACACCAGAAAACTACAGTAATTTGTATTTGAAAAAAACACATACTCATATGGAACACCTTTGCCCAGAAGTATTTTAAAAAAAGATGAACTGATCTGATTTTTTTTTAAAAAAAATGAAATATAATCATCTACGCTCATTATATTTGTGAATTGTGAGTCAGCAAAATTAAATTAGTCCATGGATTATCTGTTTTAACATTTTTTAACACAAAAGTGCATAAACTAACCCATAAGAGCAGTGCTTGCTTTGATACAAATTCAAAGTGTAAAATATACCAATGCATTACCCTAAAAGAGAAAGTACAAAGACCGAAACACAATGTGTGCATTTTATAACCACAACTTGCTCAAGTCACTGTGTTTCTCTTCCCTTTTTCCATAGTCAAGTCTACTATAGTAAACTGCTTGCAATAGCTCACAATCATCTTTTTCCATCACAAAAGTAAGGGTATGAAGTTAATGCTTTCACCTTTGACCACGACGAATCCAGTTTTATCTTCATTTCTGAATTGGGAGTGTGCGGTGGATCATAAAATTTGCAGCACTCATTTGTAGAAGATAGATGGTCTTCTGATTCTTCCGAATTTGCAATTGTTAAAATCTGAGAAATACTTGAGAAATGAGGCGTGGAGGGCAAGACAACTGCAATCTTAAGACAGTTTCACAATTAACCATTAACCTACAACCATACAAACCTGGGAATCCAGAAGGTTTTCAACTTCTTCGATTGTTGAGGTGCCTGTAAATAAAGGTAAATTTAAGGTTTTTACATGATTCTACAACATAGAACAACCCACAAAAAAAGTCAACTATTGCTTAGACTGATAAATTTCATTAAAGAAAATAATGGAAACTAATTTCAAACAAAAAAAACAAGTGCATGGTGAAAGTTGAGTTTAACAAGTAAAACCAATTGTACAATACTCATGGCCTGAGATTTCCATCCATCATAATATTTCTTTCCAATCACACTATACATAAATACTAAATGTATTGTTTGTGTGCAGACTAGAGCTCATTCGCTCAAAGCAGATGCAAGCAATTATTTTGACTTTCAAGTTTAGGAAAGCAATGCTTAGGGTTGACGAGGATACCAAACATGAAATGCAGAGTTCCAAAACAACCTTTTCTAGACTTATCACTGACAGCCATCCCGAAAATCTTGGGCTTTTTGCTGCATCTATGATAGAATTCCTATATAAATGAAAAACTATTAATCAAATTCCATGTTTGCAGACTGTGTTTGTAAATATGAAAGCAATCAAGAAATTAAGAGCAACACCTTCATAGTTTTGGCGTAGGGATGGCTTCCACTAGCACAATAGCAGTCATCCATGACCATTAAGCAAATTCTTCCCATACCCAAAAATTCCTTTTCCAACCCGTTCAGTAAGATCTGTGGTGTCATCACCAATACCTATCAAAATAGTAGGAGCAAACTTTGATTTATGTCATCTCATTAAAACTTATTATGCACCATTTATATTTCATTAGTAATCTTAGAATCCAAACACGGAGATCCAAAAAATAAACAGAGTATCAATGAATAGTTTCTCCCTCTCCCTCATTCTTCCCCTCCTACTCCCTACCACTCGCTCTGTTGTAATCTAGTTAACTAAACTTTATTACTCTGTATTATTATTAGTAGTATTATCATTATTATAAGAGCAGTTGATAATATAAAAAAGAGAGGTGCCCACTTACATCATGATCATTCACCTCTTTTCCCCATTGGATGGCATCCCAATTATCAATCCCTCTTGCTCCAAAGAACCGCTGAACTTGTAGCTTGGTGTGGCATTTTATGGTTTCATATAGCTGCAATGACGGATCGGAGTAAAAAGGGGGGAAATTCATTAACCAAATGCATGAATCTTCATGTCATATAGAGAATCCAAAAATGCAAATAAATGCAAGAAACGCCTTGCTTTCTTGGATATTCAACAGCAGATTGCAACGTCACTAGCAAACAAAAACATAGATTTTACAAACATGGATACTTTGTGGTCTACAACCTAAAATCCAAAATAGAGAAAAGGAAACTTTAAAAAAAAAACCTTAAATTTAAAAAAAAAAGAGCTTATCAAAAAGTGATCAGGGTAACTACATTACAACCTTCGTCTCATTAATACTCAGTACCAACAAAAGTCAAGAAAAATCTAGAATGGGAACATGCCTGATGAACAAGATTAACAGTAGTGGCCAAAACAACAATCTTTTTGCCAACATTGATCTCCATCAAAGATTTCACAAATTCTTGAACCATCAGCAAGGCAAGCATTGTCCTGTCGGTCCCAGGACCCACCACAGCGATTGTGTTCCTCATCAATGCAGCCTTAACCACCTTCACCTCACTATGATTAACCCAAAAACCCATAATCAAACAAAGACAGATTTTTTTAAAAGTTAAAGTGAACCCAAAACTGCATGATACTATCTAGCAAAAAAAGACTCAAAAAGGAAGCAAAAAATGGCATACTGTGCTTGAAGGGGCTGTATCTCCATTGGGTCGGTTTCTTTTTTCCCACCATCCATGGCTTCAAAGCTTCTCTTCAGAGAGCTTCGCTCCGGTTGCTCCATAACTCAATTTTTCCTGGGTTTTCTCCCGAAGAGACGCAAGTTCTTGTCTTTGGAATTTGGAAGAAAGGGGTTGGGACTGGGGACTGGGGACTGAGAGTGGAAAGGAATTTTGTTTGGAGTCTTCTGAACATAAAATTGGAGAAACAAAACGCCTCATTTGTAATTATTATATCCCTTGCTGGAAGAGAAATCAATGTGGGATGAAATTGAAGTCAAACAAGGTGACGAAAAAAAGATACGCAGGATACGGTTTACTTTCTTTGGGGATCAGTCTTGTTGTTGCCCATCAGAGAAAAAAAAGAGTGAAAAGAGGTAATACTTCTCTGCAACTGGTAGAGAAATGATTCCTCTCGGTCCTTAAATAAACATGGCATTGATTGATAATCACACAAGCAAGCTAGTGCCCTGAGGATAATAAGGAGTACTCCCTGCAGTGACCGTATTAGGAAATCAAATTTCAGAGAAAAAAAAAAGCACAAATACCCACTCTGTTTTCAAAACTTATTTCTAAAGTTTCTGTAGTTTCAAAACGTTACACCCACACCCCCTCTGATCATTTTCCGGCCATTCACCGGCGAAGAGGGGGCATTGGCGCATAATTTCTAAATCATAGGGGGCACTCGTGCTCATTTCTTATTTTTCGTTTATTATTTGTGTTTTTCCTTCTTTTTCCTTTACCAAGATTTTTTTTAAATTTTTTTTCAATTTTTTATAATGTTTTAAAAAATTTTAAAATTCTTTGTGTTTGAAATTAAAAAAACTAACATACATTACATCTATCTCAAATTAAACATTTTCACTCTTTCTTACATAGAATAATTTTTTGGAAAGTTCAAAAAGAAAACCCAAAATAAAAATATGGAAGAACGAAATGAAAAAATTAAAATACGAAAAAAAGAGTCTTCTACAAAAAACAATTTTGGAACATGCCTAAAAATATCTTTAAAATTGAGATGTCCAAAAAGGATAATCATTTTTATTTTTGTATTATTTTGTTTCTTATTTTATTCATCATTTTTTAGAAGTTCTCAAAAAAATTGCCTTTTTCGGAAAAAACAAAAATTGTTAATTTGAGACGTGCCGATGCATTATATGTTAATTTTTTCAAACAAAAATAACTTTAAATTTTAAGAACATTATAAAAGTAATTGTAAAATAACCTTTATTGATAAATGAAAGAAATAAAGAAAAAAATGGGGAAAAAACAAAAATATAAGAGAGAAATAAGACCGGAAAATGATCAGAGGGGCACGGGTGCAGCGTTTTGAAACCACAAGGACTTTAGAAATAAGTTTTGAAAACAGGGAGGGTATTGCTGCCTATTTTGCAAATCACATGGGGTACAAACGCTATTTGGCCGAGAAAAAAATTGATGACAATCTTAGAAAGTAAATCATATAATGTAACATTTTACTAATGAATATTTATATTTGTAAATAGATATATTTTATAAAATTTTAACATATCAAAATTCTGTTTCAAAAAAAATATTGATATTGCATTTAAGTCAAATAAGAAGATTTGGAGTACTACGTATTTTTTGTAGCATATTTGTGTCATTTCAAATTTTAAAATAAAATAACCTGCGGATGATAGAGATGAACAAGAATAAGGGATGAGTAGCACAATGCAGCGCGTAGGGCGAATGAGTGCCACGTAAGCTACGGTCGGGCATGAAGAATAGTGATTGAGGGAGTCTTACTTGAGAATCAATTTTTCTTATTAGGTAACTAAGAACGAAAAACAAAATTTTATTTAGAAACTAATAGAGTATATAATATCCAAATTTATATTTCTCCATCGCAAAAATAATTTTTTATTGTGAATTGTGATGCTTGACTAAAGATTTTTCAAAAAATAGCTTTCTTATATAGAAGTAAAATGAAACAAAAATACCAAAGTAAGAGTAAACGTACTTTAATTCTTTAAATATAATTGTAATAGTGGTATGGTATAAAAGCATGATGGTACGATAAATATTGAGGAGTGATGTAGATCCAAAGTGGAAAAAAATGTTTAAAAGAATTATTTGTGTTTAATAAAGTAGCACTAAACAAATTAAAGTATTGATTATAACTTACTCCGTATTTATTATCCTTAGGGTTAAGGCCCTATTTAACTTTTGTGAGAGAAAAAATTAAAGTAAAGTAAGCATTGAAAATGAACCAAAATATGAGTTCTGTATTTTTATTTCCAAAATAGGAATTAATATGCATTACATTACCAATCATGGGAGCGAGTGGCATGTGGTGGGGAGTTGGCTCGAGGTAGAGTGGGAAGGGATAAAAGGAGATGGCGTTGGTTGACGAGTGGCGGAAAAAGGTGTATTGGGGATAAGGGGCAAGGGACTCGAGTGGGAGCGGTGGTGGACAAGTTGGGTGGGTGTAGACTAAGGCCCCGTTCCGTTCAACTTATTTTTTCTGCTTTTTTCTTAATCTTATTAAAATTAGATCAGATCAGATCAGAACCAATCAGATCAGATCTAATCAGATCAGAACCAATCAGATCAGATCAGGTCAGACCCAATCAGATCAGATCAGATCTCATCAGATTCGATCAGATCAGATCAGATCTAATCTGATCAGATCAGACCAGCTCAGATCCAAATAAGAATTATTGTTGTTGTTGTTGTTGTTGTTGTTGTTACTACTACTACTACTACTATTATCATTATCAATATCTTTATTACTCCTTACTTTTTAAATTCCATATTTTTTAGTTGTTTCACTTGATACGATTCTTTTAAAAAATAAATTTAATTCTATTTAAAAAGTATAAGAAGAAAGAACATGAAACTTTTTGTGTGATTATAATTTATGTACACTAAAATAAATGATATGAAGCACAATTGTTTTCTTAAAAATGAAAAATAATAAACTTTAGAAACAAACTAAATAGAAACCCGAGAAAGTAATATTTAATTATTAATTAAAAATGTATTATTTCTTTGCTTAACATTGATAATATAAGGATGTGATCTTTTAATAAAAATATTAATGATTATTAATAACATTGATTATCTATATTAAATAACATTTTAGTGCATATATAAATTAAATAATTATTCTAATGTTTATATGAACTAATTATTAAAATATCAAATCAATATTATTCATTAAAAAAATCATAAAATAAAAAATATTATTACATTATAATATGAATGATTATTCTAATATATGAGTTAATTAATTTTGTTTCATTAAAAAATAATCATAAAAAAATATTGATTATATTATAATATGAATTATCATTACAATTTTCAATCAGATCAGAACCAATCAGATCAGAACCAATCAGATCAGATCAGATCCATTCAGATCAGATCAGATGAGATCTAATCAGATCAGATCAGATCCAATCAGATCAGATCAGATCAGATCCAATCAGATCAGATCAGATCAGATCAGAACTTATTAAAATCAGATCAGATCAGAAAAAATAAGTTTAACGGAACGGAGCCTAAACCCGACCCCAGACCCAAGTACCCAGCCCGCCCATAAATTCCCACTTGTAAATAACAGGCTTGGGTTTTGATTTTTGGAGTATGTGCCGGTCCGGCCCTAAGTAAATGAGTACCCACAAACTTGAGGGTCGAGCTCGAGTTTTATGTTCAAACCCACGGGCCGGCCCGACCCAAACCAATAGTACTAGGAATAATAATAATAATAATAATAATAATAATAATAATAATAATGACAATAATAATAATAATAATAGTACGTATTATTGCTATTATATAAACACACATGTATACTTCTAAGAAAAAAGAGAGCAATAAGTTTGTTTAATCAAATGAATATATTTTATCATTGCTCATCTCAAATTAATAATTGTGATGGATCCCTTATATTTTCCTACTCCCTCCGTCCACAAATAAACTTTTCGTTGCGCGTTACGATGTTTGACTGAAATTATTTTTAAATCAATTTATATAAAAATGGTGTAAAATTTAAAAATAAAAATTACATATTAAAAAATTATATCAAAAGATCTACAAAACTAGAGGTGACATGACTATATTATTTTATCAAATGGGTGACGAAAAATAGGCCAACAAAGTAAATAAAATTTGACCATGTGAATAGTGAACGACAAGTTTATTTGTGGACGGAGGGAGTCTTAGACTATTGGGTAGTCCAAAGTCCAAATATTAGTGGTCTACGCATTGTAATAGTAAAAGAATAAAAATATAAGAGTAAGTAAATAGAAAAAATGGAACTCCACACAAAAACAATGCTCAAACCCATTTCCTCATATCTAAACAGTCTCTCTTAGGATTGGAATATTCTCAAGGATCACCGAAATATCTTTGATAACTCAGTATATGCTTTCTCTCTCAAGATACAAGATGATCTCTCAAGGGCATCGTCTCATTTCTTTTATAGGAAGTCTCCACAAACACCATCTCATCAATATATCTTTAGTGGTTGACCGAAGATCTCAGAGATCTCTATCTTCCTTCCAGAAGGCTTCCTCCACTCCAAGCTAGGCTTAAGCACAAATCGGTTAATGGATAAATATTCTACATCACCTTTGTCTCAAACAATGACACGAGAACATTTTTCCGTCTCTCAATGGAGGCGCTGCCCTAATCTCATTGGGATGGGCTCGTGTTTGTCTTGACCACATGAGTAGAAGTATCAGTATAATTAGTGTCATACTCTTGATGGTTGCCCAAGACAACAAGAAGAGCTCTATCAAGCTCCTTAGTATCATTAGAGCCGATTTTGGTATGATCCACTCACTGACAATTCAAGGCCTTCCTTTTAAGCGGAAGGTTTGTAATCTCCCACATCAAATTATTCTTCAAGGCTACGATTTCATGCTACATAGTCATACGCCAATTGGCATGTTGCATAGCCTCTTTAAAATTACGGGGCACTGCAGCAGAAGAAATAACAGCCAGAAAATCGTGATATTTTTCATGTAATTTCTCATAATGAACAAAACTAGTAATAGGATAATGTATCCCTAATGAGCAAGACAAGCTTGACGAACGAGCAATAGAGTCCATGAGTTGGACTATGTCGCATATATAATCACACAAATAAGAGGGAGGATGACGATCACGAGTATGCCAAGGGGAGTGTCGACAGTGGACTGCCTGGGCCAGCAGTCTCGTCGTCGACATGAGTTGATTCATTAGTAAGCCCGGGTGAAGTTACAGGATGAGGGTAGGGGTACCTCAATGAGGACAGAGACATGTAGATTTGTAAGCAATTCAACTAGAAAATCAACATAGTCGGGATTATTTAAACTTGCCTAATGGGGAATAGGTTGGTCTTTAATAGCAAAGGGAAAAGCTGATTCATCAAAAGAAATATGCTAAGTATGAAAAAATGACGAGACTCAAGATCATAAACACACCAGTCTTTGGTACCTAAAGGGTAACCAATAATCAGACATTTAATATTTCAGGGGTGAACCTTGTTAGGGAAATGTTAAACATGACGACCATAGCATATACAACCAAAGACGCGCAATTGAGACAAATTACGGGGGCTTGGAGGTAAGTGTGTTGTATGGGGACTTGCCCTCTAAAAGTGGTGTAGGAGTGCAACTGATCAAATAAATTGTTGTACGAACACATTCTCCCCCGAATTCAATTGGAAGAGAGGCCCAAAAAATAAGAGTCCTCGCAACATTTAGAATATGACTATGTTCATGTTGTTTAACTCATCCATTTTGTTGGGAGTGTCTGCACATGAAGTTTGAATCGGAACACCCATATCATAATAAAATTATATTCATATAAGGGAAGATTTAAAAATTCAATGCCATTACCAAAATGCATGATTTTAATTATTTTGTTAAATTGGATTTTAATCATGGCAAAGAATTGTTTATCAATAATAAAAAAGCCTAAATATATCTTAAGTGATCATCAACAATGGTTAAAAATAATGATAAAAAGTAGACAAATGAGCAGTTTAAAGACTCTATAGATCATAATGAATTAAATTAAATAATGCATCTGCTCAATTTGTACTAGAGGAGAAACTAGAGCGAGTTTGTTTAGAATAAAACTAAAGCGAGTCTATTTACTACACATTTCATAATATATATATATATATATATATATATATATATATATATATATATAAAATTCTATCTAGAACTTTTCATGTTTTTTTAATTATATAAATTTTATTTTTAAATTTTACACCTACAATTAAATAAATTAAATTTATAATTGGTCAAGCCTCGTAACGCTTGATGATGAGAAGATCATTGGTGGGCGGAGTGATTAGCAAACACATATACTTACAAGAAATACCCAATAACAAAAGACAAACTAAAATAAAAGAACTCTCCAAGAAAGAGTACTATCCAATTGCGGAAGTGGCATTTTTGTCATTCTTCCATGAAAAAAATAATAAAGAATACATCGAATTTTAATTACTTCCACCATACGGAGTATTTGTGGTTTTGTGTTTACTTTATGCAACAATTAATTATTAATTGAATAGTCAATTTATATATATATATAGTAACGTCTAAAATGACACCAGTTACTTATACACCGGTTGCTTACACTAGTTTGTTTGGAGTACTTACGGTGCTCCGTTTGTAAAAACGACGGTTCCTACCCCTCTCCCTAAACCCCCCACCCCAGCCCCACCCTTTCCCCCCACCCCAGCCCCCCATCCCGCTCCCTCCCTACCCTGGCAGTNCTGGCAGTACACTGGCAATGTACTGCCAGGGTAGGGAGGGGGCGGGAGGGGGGGCTGGGGTGGGGGGTAATGGTGGGGCTGGGGGGGGTTAGGGGGAGGATTAGGGAGGGTAGGAACCGTCGTTTTTACAAATGGAGCACCGTAGGTACCACAAACGAACTGGTGTAAGCAAATGACACCAGTAGCACTGATGTTACTTTAGACTTACCGTGTGTGTGTGTGTGTGTATATATATATATATATATATATACACTCCCTCAGTCCCAATTTATATGCAACACTTCGAACGACGTGCAAAATATCATCTCTTTTTAAAAATCACTTTAATTTCAAATTGGTAGAGTAATAAAAAGTAAAAATTACACCATTTAAAAGTATATGAAAAATTCTACAAAACAAGATGCGACAAGAATATTTTATTTTATCAAATGATCAACCAAAACGAGTAAACAAACAAAAGTTATCGAGAGACCAGAATAGTAAACGTGGCATTCTTTCTGGGACGGAGGGAGTATATATATATATATATATATATATATATATATATATATATATATATATATATATAAAACTTTTAATAAAATTAATTATTCTACCCATTTTAATTGGCTTTTAAGCAAACTTAGTTTATATATTAAAAACAAAATTAATTATACTCTATATTAATATTAATTATGTAATTTGTTAGGTTAAAAGCTCTTGAAGGCAGGGTGACGGGTCAAAGTAGGTGCGAACCTTAAGAAACTACAAAGAAAGTGCAAAGACGAAATGGATGTTCACGTGTATGTGGAATGCAACTATTCATTCTTCTTCTTTGTTTAAAATTAAATACCAATTATTTCCTTTGTTTCTCATTACAAAATGAAAATAACGGTATAAAATTTTACGATTTTTGAAATTATTTTATCACAAATTGGTATATTAATAAGAAATAAAAATTATATATTAAAAAATAACGTCCAATGTTTTACAAAATAAGAGGCGGCGGCAAGAATGTGTTATTTCATCAAATAATTAATAAAAACACACAAATAAATAAAAGCTATCGAGGGGTGAGAGAAAAAAATAAAATTGTAATAAAAATGGGACCGATGGAGTATATTTTGTTCTAGTGCTGTGCAAAAAAACAATCTTTGTTTAACGTAACTCTATTTTGTAGTTTTTTTAATCATAAATTAAACATAATTATAAATAAATACTATGTAACTATTATAAAAATTTGATATATCAAAATTATACATTAAAATTAACACACTTATATTAAACATACATTATAACTAAATTTTAAATTTCCTGTTTTCCGTTTTTGTCCGTTCCAAAATAAGTTGACTATTTTTTATCATAATAAATTTTTAAGCGTAAAATACCAACTACCCCTAAAATAAGTCACTCTTCTCCACCTTATCTTCTCATTAATCACCACCCATGTAAAAAAGTAAGACATTTTTAAAAAATCAATACCACTTTTTCAATTTTTCATTTCTTTAAATATGTCTCAAAGTTAAAACGGACAATATAAAATCGGACGGAGGAAGTATATATTTTTTTACTCCAATAGGCCGGGGTTACACGATATCTCTTGTAACTTAGTAACTGATACACCATTTTAAAGAAAGTAAATTTTCCTCATTAGGGATATGATACTTCAAAATGTTATACTCGGGTAATAGGTTAAAACTTTGAGGGAGGTAATATTAGAAAAAAATCATCTTAAGAAGAAGTAAAACATTGAGAAAAATTTTAAAATAAGAGTATTTTAAATATTTTATTCCTATTTTAATCTTTTTCCCTAATATTAGTCTTATTTCCTCCTTCCCAAAATTAATTACAATTTATTTTCTCTCATTTCTCGATAATTTTTGCATGCTTATTCGTGTGGTACGGTTTTATTAATTATTAGATAAAATAAAATATTTTTTGAATTGAGTTGTTTGGATACTAATTTGGTAGCATCCCGGTTCGTGAATCCGTTTATTCGGGTTGGGGTATTACATTAATATTTTTTTCATGTATTGTAATGTTTATGTTTTTATTTTGGATTGGTATTTTCTTTTATTTAGTATTATAGTTTTGTTTAAATCAATGAAATGTTATCATATGATTATCGTGTTAATTAGACATTTTCATATTTTATTTTTAAATTTATTTTAAAATTAATTATTAATAAAATCAATTACTAATAACATTAAAATTTTAAAAATGATTTTCAAATTAATTTTTATTCTTAGTTTAGGTTAATTATTTAAAAACTATTGTAGTAAGTAGGTGAATTGGTGTATGTATACTACCTCTTATAGTATGAAAACTATAAAATTAATAAAATCTGATGTCACAATAATGTATATGAGAGAGATAATACACTACAAAAACTATGGAGGTATGAACACCCTTTATCTAACACACACTAATTGTTAGTATATCAAAACTGTAAAGGCAATGGGTCCTTTTTCTACAAAACATAAAAATCCAAACAATATACGTAGTATATATTATCCTTTTCTATCCTCTCTTTTGTACTCTTCTAATGAGAATTCATACTCTTTTTCTCCCAAATTATTTGTAACATTTCGAAGAATGTGTAAAAAATATTACTTACTCTGTTCTAGAGTATTTGTCCACTTTCATTTTTACATATCATCCAATGCACTTCTTTATTCCATTTTTATCTTGTAATTTATATATTAAAAAATTATAGAAATTATATATTAATAATCTATATGTTAAGACAAATCAAAGATCACACATGAGAAAATTTGATGAGTCAAAGTGCTTAGATGAACAGTTCCAAAAGTGAAAAGTGGACAAAAACTAGGGGACGGAGGGAGTATATATTTTAAAATCATTTTATTTACAAATTAGTTGAGAAATAAAAAGTAAAAATTAATTCATTTAAAAGTTTTACAAAACAAGATGTGATAAGAAAATTTTATTTTATCAAATGGTCTCCCAAAATGAAAAAATAAAAATTATTGAGAAACCAAAATAATAAGTGACTTGGTTTGGGGTACTCATTATTATGTTTATATGGGAATGGTGGGCGTGACACTATCAATGAAGAAGAAAGATGGGAATGATATTTCCTTGAAGATAAAATAAACAGAGACAAGAAGAGAAAATGTTTTCTCTTAAGAAGATGAACATATAATATATACATACATAAGATTAGGAAATAATCAACATTCAAAACAGACCCATTTCCAGAAAAGCACCAGAAACTCATGAAGAGCTTGTGGAGAAGATGAATATATATATATATATATATATATATATATACATAAAAGATTTTAAAAGAAGCAAACCACTTCACTTTTGCCATGTCATCCATTTCCATACTCTGTACCTTTCCCGGCCTCTCTTCCTTCCTTTCTCCGATTCCTCCCCGCCGTTCGCCGTCACTCTGCAAGAACCCAACCGCATTATTCCTCTGCCAGACCAAGACAGGTGGCGACCGGAGGAAATGCGGGGCTTCGTGTCTACCCAGGTTGCTGATTCTTCACCGTTCCTCGGATAATCGGAGTCGGGCATCGACCAGGCCGTGGCATCTGAGATCTTCGCGCCGGAGAATCTGAACTGGTCGGAGCCGTCGTCTCGGAAGCTGCACAGAGACCTCGATCTCGACACGCGCATTTCGTCGAACACCTGGTGGTCGTCGATTCCCCGGTTCTTGATTTTCCCGAACAGGCTCTTGATCTTCCAGAACCCGTTTCCGCTCTTCTTGATCTCCTCGCGGTTGCTGCTGCTCCGGCGAAGCCCCCTCCCCGCCGCCGCCTTCAGCTGATCGAACCCCCTCTCGTTCTCGATCAAGAACCAGATCCGGGAAGAAGAAACACCAGAGCAAGAGCACGAAGAGACGCGATTCTCCCCGCAATCCGAGCAGACAAGCTCCAAGAGCCGGTCTTTCAGGCAGCGAGAGCAGATTCCGACAGAAGAAGCCGAAGGGTGTTTCTCGCACGTCGTCATGATCTCCGAGGTCCTCCCCCAATCTCTCATTGCCCTGTTTCTTGAATCTTCTTCAGAAAACGGAAAAAGCTTCGAACTTTCTCTTTTCTTTTGTCCACAGCAGGAAAAGAAACAGAGAAAGGAAGAAAGGGGAAATGAATGGATGGGGGAGACGTCAAGTGTACGTTTTGAGTGTGGGGGAACAGTTACAGTGGTGATTGAAAAAAAAGGTGCATTCATACCCTCATATCCGGCCCCGGCAGGGCAGAATTGAGAGATGAATCATGGTATAATTTTTAATCTTATTATTATACTAGCTAGTTGATGGGGATAACCCACTGACTCCACAAGATCTTATTAACCTCGATAATCTGACCGGGTGGATGTCAGAGGGTTAGAATTGAAGACTAGCCGGGAGGATGCCTTGAGATAAACAGTAGCAATAAGAAGTGTTTTTCTATTTTTATAAATAGGAGTAAAAGTCTCATTAAGAAGACAAGCAATAAATAATCGACACGGCTTGTAAACTTATAAACGGTCTCAATATTATTAATAACTAACCGGGCTACGTGTGTTTCCACATATAGCTCTTTCGCTTATTCTGACTTGGTACTTACGTTGGTTTTACACCATCACTGGTGATTGAAAAAAAGGTAAAATGTCCAACTCGGGTGTCCCATACTCCAAACCGACAGAATTGTAAAAGAGGTAAATCATGATATAATATCAATATGATCGTTAGAGAGGTTATTCTGTGCCCGGATAAAATGGAGTGAAGCAAGCAATGGAACAACATGTCTACTAGTGTTTCTTGGTTATGTCCCACCACTTCATCTTCATTGGATAATTCCTGCCGGACATTACTACTCGTGTGGTGGAGAAGTTACCCATGGTTTGGTCGGAGAGAAATGTCAAAATGATACTCGGGTAGAAAAGAAAAAGAGAGACAAAACTATACTCCTCCGTCTCAAATTATTTACTCATATTATGTTTCAAATAATGTACAAAATATATCACTTTTAAAATTATTTTATCTACAAATTGGTAGAGAAATATAAAATACTCTCTCGATTCCTGAGTTTTTTCCATTTTGACTTTTTTCGATCAAAATTAGTAAACTTCAACACCGAATTAAATAAAAATGTTATTGATACAAATTTTTTTTATTAAATTTATTATATAAAATATTTTCAAAATATTATGTTGTATAAATAATATACAATATATATTTTATTTAATTATAGGTCAAAGGTTAAAAATAATTGACTAAAAAAATTAAAATCAGACAAATACTCAGTGACAGAAATAATGCAAGTTAGATTCTTCAAAAGTATATATAAAAATTCTACGAAATAAGAGAAAATAAGAATATTTTATTTTATCAAATGCTTCTAAAAAATGAATAAATAGATAAAAAGTTATCGAGAGACCGAAATAATAACTTTGTATTCTTCCGGTAACGGGTAAATAATATTAAAAAGAATAATGTACAAATACAACGGGCATACCCTCGAACAAGGGGTAGATACTCCCCATATGACAAACCAAAGAGGAACATAGACACGCAGGCCAAAACAGAATCAAAGGCACGCATGCCCAATCAGAGTCAAAGGCACGCAAGCCCTGGTAGAATTACACCAAAAGTGGACAAATAAGACTAAAAGTCAATGCAAACATATGGCCAAAGACGCCCAAGAATTGTATAAACCATAACTTTAATTTTACAAACAAGAGTTGTAATATCAAGAAGCTTATGATCAAAACAAACCTCATTTCGAGACTTCCAAAGCATAAAGACGGTGCAGGCAAATGCAAGCTTCATCGCCCTCCTCCTGGGAAGGGCACCTCTCTTGTTTGACCGCAACCACCGGACAGCTCGTATGAAGGTGGTAAGGTGTGCCTCAATCTCCATCCAAGAACGAATCAGACCCCATACATGCTTAGTCACCGAGCAGCTGAAGAACAAATGGTTGATAGTTTCCAACTCGACTCCACAAAGGAAACATACTCTTGATATTCCAACATCAAGGAATCCAAGATTAACCTTTGTGGGTAGTCTGTTTCTGAACGCCAACCACAAGGTGAAAGAGCATTTTGGTGGAATAAACGGTTGCCAGATGAACTTCATCCAGGGCTTCGGGTGAGAACGAACCCTAAACAAATCATAGATTTTCCCGGAAAGAAGCTTATTGTTGAAGCAGAAAGGTTTCAAAGCATCTTCAATTGAAAGGGGATTACCAAGCTTAACAAAGAGGAGGTCTCTAATCTCGGCCAACCTCTTGAATAGACAAGAATCCCTCTTCTTAGGGATCCAACTCCAAGCACTCCTCCCATTAAGGTAGATGTTGTGGACCTAACGAACCCATAGAGAGTCTTTTTTGTTAGCAATGTTCCACAAGACTTTACAAAGCAAAGCATTGTTCCACATGACTGGCTCTTTAAGCCCTAGTCCCCCTTCGGTTTTGGGCTTGCATATGTCAACCCAGGCGACCTTAGCAAACTTACTGCCCCATAGGAAGTCACGGCACAGGCCTGTGATTCTATTGAGTACAACTTTTTGCGTAGGGAATGCTTGAAGCCAGAAGGATTCAGTCCCTTGGATGACTGCCCTCAAGAGTTCAACGCGCCCGGCATAAGAAAGCTTGTTGGTGCTCCAACCACGTAAGAAGTTATCAATTTTGTTGATCAATGGGGCAAAATCAGATTCCGTGAGCCTTTGGGACGCCAAGGGCAGCCTTAAATAGCGCACAGGGAGCTGCCCCACTGGAAAATGAACAAGGCTAATTATGTCTTCACTTCGGTCTCTATCCCTCCCGGCAATGAAAATGTTGGATTTGGTGGGGCTGAAATGAAGACCAGAGACGGCAGAGAAATGATTCAAAACCTCCATTAAAGCTGTGACCGAAGTAAAACCCCCCTTGGAGAAAAGCATAATATCATCCGCGAAAGCCAAGTAGGGGTAGCACAATCCGGATGGTAATGGAACGTGCCATCCTTGGCCTTCAAATTCAAGAGGCGAGAGAAGTATTCAAGACAAAAGATGAATAAGGTAGGAGACATCGGGTCACCTTGTCTTAAGCCTCTTTGGCCTTTGAAGAATCTGTGGAGCTCTCCGTTGACCGAGATTGAAAATGAAGCCCAAGTGACACACTCCATAACCCAATGCACAAACTTCGGGGGGAAACCAAGTCCAATCATAATGCTATTGAGGAAATCCCAAGAGACGGTGTCATAAGCTTTGGTAATATCAAGCTTGATCATGCATTTGGGTGTGGCCCTCTTGATAGCATAGCCTCTGATCAAATGTTGAGCCAAGAGTACGTTGTCAATCAATGACCTACCCTCCACAAACGCTCCCTGAGCCGAGTCAATCAAGTTTGGCAACAATGGAGCCATTCTTTGAGCAAGGATTTTGGTGATAACTTTATAGATCACATTCAAACAGGCAATAGGCCTAAAGTCTTTCACAGATGGGTTATGAGTGGTTTTGGGGATGAGTGCAATGACAGCATGATTGAGTTGCTTGAGCAGTTTTCCATGTTGGAAAAATTCTGCCACTGCCTCAAACAGATCAGGGCCAACCAGTTGCCACTGGGATTTGAAGAAACCAGCACTAAATCCATCGGGTCCAGGGGCTTTGTATAACTTTGTATTCTTGTACATTCCAACACAACTTTCATGTTTGGATGAAAAAGAAAAAAAAATGAGAAAGGAAATAGTTCGTGTGGGACGCATGCCATACAAATTACGTAGTAATATGACACTCAAATTCAATGTCAAAATAAAAGCTCCAACATATACCCCTTAAATAAGATTTGAAAGACACAATCCAACTCATTTCAACATTCAACAATATTTGTCCAACGGACCAACACATAAAAACAAACCATTGAAGACATTATTGTGAATTTGAAGAAAATTTCCCCTAGCAAACGTTGATGGAAGCCTACTGATATTTTTGCTGCTGGTGCTTAGGCTATATGGAGATACCAATACCTTATAAAGAAATCATTCTACATAAGACTAAAATATAGAGAAAATACATAAATAAGAGTTCACACTGTGATAAACTAACACTATAGATTTGCATTTTACGTAATCTACATGATCATGATTGGTAATGTAAATACATTTTAACTCTTTTTTCGACAATAAAAAATAGAACTCCTATTTTGATATATTTTCCATATTTTACTCCTACTTTAGTCTTTTTTCCTAACTTATAACTTATACAGTCGTACGCTACTAGATGGGAGCTCGAATTGAAATGAGGAACTCAGAAAATGCCAAGAAAATATTTTCAAAGGTAAAACCAAACAATGAAGACCCATTCGATCTACCCGAGTTCCGGCATAGCTTTAAACAAGCCTTCCCAAATATTCATTGTCATAAAATCATGAACTCAAAGACGGAAACCAGTAGAACAAACCCTTCTTAATTAACAAGGAACTGCCAAAAATTGAACTGAGCACATTACCCTATTAAAACTCGTCAAACAGAACACCACACGCAAGTAACGTTATATCTTCATCCCGCTTACAGGTCGGCCGTTTTAAGCTCCCAAAGCTATGCCATGAAGAGCGATTCCATATATTTCAACCTCTCATCAAAATGACCCGAAAAAAAGAGGGTATCAAGCCTCCTTTCTTGTTATCCTGACATAAAAAACAAGCATACAAATCGGTTAATTTCGCGAAACCTGGAATTTTTCAACGGCCCCGCATTAGTGTGTACTCCTTCCGAACGAAATAAGGTTCTACAGTTGACTGGGCACAGTTTTTAATAATGATAAAAAATTGAGTGCATTCCATAAATGGTCCCTAATTACATGTAGTTTTCAATGTTTAGTCCCCAATTCTAAGATATTACATTAATGCTCCTCAATTTTTTAAATTTTTTTCCATAAATAGTACAAAATGTCAAATATGACAAAATGTTTTTCCACGTAGTCCATGAAGAAGCGAATATGGAATAGTCTTCAAACATTGAGGACTATCTATGTAATATCTTAAAATTGGGGACCAAATATGAAAAATCGCCTATAATTAGGGATCATTTATGGAACTTACTCAAAAAATTTGCAGAGAGAGAAATCGAAAGGGACACCTTTATTTGGTTTGCATTTGTGGGGGATTTTGCTTATTTTAGAATCCCAATCAACCTTTTTTGTATATTTGGGTTGTATTTTGGCTGAAATGAGATGGGTGATTCCGGTTTCCAAAATGATATGGAGTATATTGGACATCACCCTGCCCCGTGATTCTACGGTTTCATCCAAAATGAAGTTTTGGGAATGACTTTAAACAGAAATCGCCTTTTCCCATCCCTAGCTCAAGATTCTAGCGATTTTTCTAAAATCAGAATCACCTAATTTTGAAAATGCAAACCAAAGCTCATGACATTAATCTTTTTTATTATGGCTCCGTTTGTTTCAGAGAAAATAACTTGTGAACTACATTCTCCAGAGAAAATGTTTGCCGTGGACTGCAATAAGATGTTAAATGTATAACATAATGTTTTCCTGCGAACAAACAGAGCTTTAAAAAAGTAATAAATTGCAATTTGAAAGTCAAATTGTTAAATCCATTCTAGGTCAGCCCAGGAACAAGATGAACAGAGTGAGGGCGTGACGCGATATATTCAACTTCAAAAATTACAACATTTCGTTCAAACAGAAAATAATGAATATTTATATCTTAAGAAATAGAGAAAAAACTTACCTGAAACAATAGATTCCCAGAGCTGTTGTTATTTCATGAATAACTGATGTAGCGAAGTGCATATATAGCGACACTGAAAATAATGAAAGGCAAACAGTGTTTTGCAAAGTCCAAAAACAGAGAATTATAGTAAACCCAATGCAGAAAGGAAAAAAAGATGGAAAATCAAAACTAGGTATTGTGATTAAGGGCCCTTACGTATCACTGCTAGTTTTCAGTTTATATGTTGCATAATAACCAAAAAAAGTCATGCTTATACTCATCGTGTTGACTGTTGATTTTAAAAACTGCCAATAAAAACTACTCCGTACTTTTTCTGTTTTTCATAAACTTGTGTTTAGCTTTCACAAAAAAAAATAGAGCACGAAAAGTTTCGTTTTTACAAGACAGAGTACATGAAACACATCACACCGCACCAATTAGTAAATAAAGATTACTTCAATTGCCTACATGTTCAAAGTGTCATGTTTCAATTCACGGGCTAAACCAGACCAAGCCAACTCATTCGCACGAGGCGGAGTTGGCTAAATTCAGTAAATTGAATTTCTACTACCCTTTTCATGCATACACACAATAGAAATAAATAGCCGCAAACCAAGGAAATCATAAGCTATCCATGTAAACAAGATCTTGAGGAGAATAAGAGAATGAAGTACCAGAGTAGACACAAAATCCAAGGAGAATCCAGAATTCATCAATTAATGGAATGCTGCCACAAATAAAAGCTCCAGCTTATTGAATTAACACAACACTCAATGTTGAAAAAGAGTGAATAAAAATGGTGTTTAAGAAACAGGATTTTGGAATGCGCATACCCATCATTAAGTCTGGCAGTGAGCGCATTAGCTATGGCAAAAGGCAGATATATCAAAGACTGAAAGACAAAAATAAATATTCATAAGGTTTACCTGTTTAAGTTGAAATAAGAAACAGACAAAGAAATTTCAATGAAGGAATCCAAATCATTTTCAATTTGTAATCAATATGCAAAGGAAAATATCTTCAACTAGACACATCCAGCCTGAACAATAAAAGCTATTGATTGAGTTTAGTAAAATACATACAGAGTTTTAGTTATAACCATTTTGTACTCTATTTATACTAAAACTTTAAAAAGCAATGCATTGATCAGAATAATCATAATGATTGGTAAGAGAATGAGAGTAAACTTCCACTTTAAAACAATCTGCATTCACATTTTTTTCAGATTGAGTGATCAACACATAAAATTCAAACCGCAAAAAAGAATATTAGGTTACACAGTTTGGATACTGAGTTACAAAAAAGTACCATGCACATGCTAGTTTTCAGGCCCTTGGGTTCATCACATAAATGAGACAGAATCAACCTTCCCTGCAAAATAAAAGTATCTTTTAAACATAGAATGATAAATTTATAACAGAGCATGACACTCTATGGATCGTGTATTCCATGGTGGAGCCACCTTGAGAAATGGAGGGGTAGTGGCCACTCGGGTTGGGAATTTTTCCCCAACATTTTTAAGTGCAATAAGTATAGATGCACAAAATTTTATTAAATTTAGAACATTAGTTTATATTTTAGGTTTGAGAAGGGGTAATCTTACAGTCTTACACCACTCAATTGGCACCCTTACGGTGCTCCGTTCCCAAAATTGATGGTTCCTACCCCCTACCCCCCCCCCCCCCCCCCGGTAACACCCCCCCACTCGGCCTTGCTCAGCCCTAGCACACCCAATCCAATTGCCCCATCCAAATTTTGGTCAAAATTTTGACCCCAAAAGTTAAAAACATCTGGATGGTGCAATTGGAGGGGGTGCAGGGGTGCATTAGGGCCAGGTCGGGGTGGAGGGTTTACCGGGAGAGTAAGAACCGTCAATTTTGGGAACAGGGCACCATAGGTGTGCCAATTGGGTTGGTCTCACAACCGTCAATCTTACACTAAAATAATGGTGTAAGATTACCCCTTCTCATAGAACTTTAGTATTTTGAGTATGTGTTTCAGTTACACTTTGATATGAAGGTGTGTCTTTCCCTGCTTGAAGACTAGAACAAAATTTCAGGATGTGGATTGCATGTGTATGAACCAAGATGAAGGGGCCAGCAACATTCTTAAATATTGGATGATAAAAGAACTAACTAATAAACAGGTTTTACAGTTGCCTCTAATGAATTACATAAGATAGGAATTTCAATCTAGTTTCTGAGTAAATTCAAACAACCACAATATTTGGAGTTCAAGAAGCCAAGAATGTGAAGAAAAATTACCACGAGAAACCCAAATGCAAGACCAGTTCCCACAATGAACAAATGTGGGTACTTCCCCATCAAACCAGATGGAGATATGTATTCCCTGTGTTACAGGTATCAATAAATATTCCAGGGAAAAATTTCAAAATTTAGCTATATAGTGTGTCAAGGGGAATTGAAAAGGAGAAAATTTACCATAGAAGGACTCCTCCAACCAGCACAGAAAATGGATAAAGCTGTCAATTCATTGGGCAAATATATATGTCAATTACTGGAAAATAAGAAGGGGTGAAGGGAAATATTGTTCAATAATTTATAGTTTATTTATACGCATACCATAGCCAGAGCTAGTGGCATACTTCCATTTCTTGCCTTAACAACCTTGTACACGTTTTGCACACTGAAAACGATAAATCTGACTTAATGAGCATTCACGTGGAGCGATACACAACAGTGCAAATAACTATACTATCACTTAAGGATATGAAGTATTTCAAAGCCACAGTTCACAATTGTTAAGATTTGAAGTTAAAACAAGTAATGTACAGGCAAATTTCTCATTCAATCAAAATTAAAGGAAGTCCCAGATGCAAAACAGTGAAAGGCAGCCAGCTTGAGAAAACTCTATCCTATATTCTGATTCTGCATTGAAAACAAAAATTAGAGCTCAACATCTTAAAGGTCATCTCTTTGTATATGTAGTATCATGATATTATCATCACCTTAGTCCCAATTAATTGGGGTCAGGGACATGAAATTTATAGTGCCACTTAGTTGTTTAAATAAGTTTATGATAAGCCTCCAATCAGATTGGTATATTCAAGAAGGAAAAAGATGGCAAAGGGTGGGCCGGCAGAAGTGGAGCAGCTCAAAATGTTAATGGGCATTTCAAACAACCCACTAAGTGGCTGAGTGGGTGGGTTACGTGGCAGTTACCAACTCCCCTGGGAGTGGGATTTATTACTTAAAGTCATGTCATTTTCTTATGTGATTATCTTTTATTGTATTTTCCTTTGAGAATCTGGAGACTATCCCTTCTCGAATTGGGATTTGATGTACCTTTTTTCATTCTAAATTCAATCAAGCTCAAGCTTTATCATTTGGTTCCGTTGCCGGGAATCGAATGGCACCAACAACCCGGAGTAACCAATCGGAAGGCGGGGGTGCAGAACCTGACCCCATTGCCGTCCAGTTAGCCGCCATCGCCGAGAGACTAGCCGTCATGGAATCCCTGAAAGACGACGTCGCCGCCCTCAAGTCTCATGCTACATCTTCTAGTAACAGCGGTTTTAAATGTGGTCATAAAGATCCTGCCGATGATGGTGAGTACTCTTGGAGAAACAATCGCCCTTATCGCCCTTATAACAAGATAGATTTCCCTGTATTTAGTGATGGAGATCCTAGAGGCTGGATTCTAAAGGCAGAAAAGTATTTCCGTTACTACAATGTACCTGAAGATGAAAAGGTGGATATCGCGGTCATGTACTTGGAAGTTGGAAGGAGACGCTTTAGACCTGTATTCATGGCTAAATGCGGACCAGGGTATCATCTACTGGGAAGATCTGGTTCAGGCATTACAAAAGAATTTTGGTCCTGCTGAATATCAAAATCCAGATGAGTACTTGTGCAGTATCAAGCAGACCGGATCCGTCCAAGAATACTGACAGGAATTCGCCAAACGATCTGCTCGCGTTTCCAATTGGCCAGATAACTGCCTGCTAGGGATCTTTCTGAATAGACTCAAGGAGGAGTTAAAGGCGGATGTCCGGATTCATAAGCATAGGACAGTGTACAATGCGATAAGCCTAGCCCTTGAATTTGAATCTAAGATTGGATGTTCTCGTTCAGGAAGAGGAACTGCTTCTGTTGGCAGTTTCAAAACTCCCTCACAACCAAATCCTCCCAATAATCCTCCACCTGTTCCTCAAAAGAATCCTCCTTTACACATTTCTGATACTGAGAAACAGACACGCTTCCTAAGGGGCGAATGTTTTCGATGTGGTGACAAGTATAGTCCTGGACACCGATGTAAAACAGGAACCTTCAAATTACTAGACGCGACGGAGGAAAAGGATGATTCCGTACAAGTTGTGGGAGAAGAAGAGGCTATTTCCCAGGAAGATCTAGCGGAAATTAGTCTACACGCCATCTTGGGGAAATCACACACCACTACAATGAAGCTACATGGAACTATAAACGCAACAGAGGTCCTAATTTTAGTTGATAGAGGCTCAACTCATAATTTTATCTCAGATAACTTGGTGCAGGATTTAAAGTTAACAACCCAACTGGTACCGCCATTTGGGGTTCAAATTGGGAATGGGGATATAATCAGGTGTAATAAAGTCTGCAGAGAAATTCCTCTACAGCTGCCAGAGCTTAAAATTACTCAGGACTTCTATCCTATTTCAATTGGAGGAGCAGATGTTGTCCTAGGAATTCAATGGTTGGCATCTCTAAACACTGTGTAGGCTAATTGGAACGAAATGTTCCTTATTTTCACCATCAATGGGCAGAAATACAAGCTGCAAGGTTTAGTTTCTGGTCCTCAGCAGTCTGCAGCTTTTCAACACCTTAGTATTGAATCGGAAACCCTACCCGAGATACCCACAGACTTACAATCATTATTCCAAAACTTTGCATCTGTATTCATTGAACCTACAACCCTTCCACCCTTTAGATCACACTATCACTCTATCCCTCTATTACCCAATACTGTACCTCCCAATATACGCCCTTACCGATACCCCCCCCATTCACAAAAAAATGAGATTGAAAAGCAAGTGCAAACACTGCAGACAGCAGGGTTTCTAAGGACCAGTACTAGCCCATTCTCTAGCCCTGTGTTATTGGTTAAGAAGAAAGACAACACATGGCGTATGTGTGTCGACTATCGAGCTTTGAACAAGGTTACAGTGGCTGACAAATATCCAATCCCAAACATAGATGAGCTGTTGGATGAATTGCATGGAGCCACTGTGTTCTCAAAGTTGGATTTGCGATCAGGTTACTACCAAATATGGGTAAATCCCTCTGATATTGAGAAAACAGCCTTCTGGACCCATTCGGGACACTATGAATTCATGGTTATGCCGTTTGGATTAACTAACGCCCCCTCAACATTCCAAGCAGCCATGAATGACCTCTTTCGTCCCTACTTGCGCAGATTTATACTTGTTTTTTTCGATGATATCTTGATTTACAGCCGTACTAGGGAGTTGCATGTCCAACACTTACAAACTTCACTGGAACTATTGCAAAAACAGAAGTTCTTTGCCAAGCTTTCCAAGTGTTGTTTTGGTCAATCCCAAGTTCTATTTTTAGGACACTTGGTTACTTCCACAGGGGTGCAAGTTGATCAAGAGAAGGTAGCAGCAGTTCAAGCGTGGCCCATACCTACTAATGTTCGTGAGGTACGGGGATTTTTGGGCTTAACAGGATATTATCGCCGTTTCGTACGGCATTATGGGTTGATTGCACGCCCCCTGACAGCCTTGACCAAGAAAGATGGGTTTTTGTGGAATGATGAGACAATGACAGCTTTTACTAAACTGAAACAGTTGCTTATTTCAGCCCCTGTTCTCCGCCTGCCAGATCTCTCATTGCCTTTCATCGTGGAATGTGATGCTTCATCAGAGGGAGTTGGGGCCATCTTAATTCAAGAAGACCACCCCATTGCCTATTTTAGCAAAGGGTTTTCACCATCTAATCGCCTCAAATCGGCATATGATCGTGAACTATTGGCTTTGGTCCAAGCTGTGCAAAAATGGAATCATTATCTTATGGGACAACACTTCTTCGTGCGAACTGATCATTACACCTTGAAGTTCTTATTGGAGCAGCGGGTTACTACTCATGAACAACAGCGTTTACTGATGAAGCTGATGCCTTGTGATTTTTCAATTACGCACAAATTGGGAAGGGAAAACAAGGGGGGCGATGCACTCTCTCGCAGACCCCAACAAGTAAATTTCCTCACATTTGCAATCCCTTATTGTTTGGATATTGCAGCGGTACATGAGGGTTTAAGAACTGATCCCTACACCCATAAAACTATCCAGGGGTTGTCTACCGACGTGTCTTCCTTCCCAGGTTTCAAAATGGTACGTCAAACTTTATTTTATAAGGGGCGCATTGTAATTCCAAATGTACCGGGCCTTCGGGACAAACTCTTGCATGAAGCCCATGGTACCCCGATGGCAGGCCATGGAGGGTTTCTAAAGACACTCAAACGCATATCATTGTACTACTATTGGCCCAACCTGAAACAAGATGTTCGCATCCATGTGCAGAACTGCCTTACATGTCAACAACAAAAGTATGACACTTTATCACCAGCGGGGTTACTTCAACCACTTCCTATACCGCAGCAAATCTGGGAAGACATCTCTATGGATTTCATTACAGGGCTACCCACATCAAACAAGTTTGATACCATTTTTGTGGTGGTCGACCGATTAAGAAAATACGCTCACTTTTTGCCTCTCACTCATCCATTTACAGCCAAAGGAGTTGCTGCCGTGTTTTGCAAGGAAATTGTTCGCCTTCATGGTTTTCCACGATCTATTATCTCTGATAGGGATGTGATATTTCTAAGTCACTTCTGGCAGGAGCTCTTTCGCCTCAGTCACACCACTTTGAAGCTGAGTACTAGTTACCACCCCCAAACGGATGGACAAACTGAAGTCCTCAATCGATGCTTAGAGGCTTACCTTCGTTGCTTTGCTCACGAGCAGCCTCACAAATGGAGTTCGTTTCTGTCATGGGCCGAGTACTCCCACAATACTGGGTTTCACACTGCCATCAACACCACTCCTTTCTCAGCAGTTTATGGTCGTGACCCTCCCCCCTTCCATCCTTACACCACTGGGGAAACTAAGAATGCTGAGTTAGAAGATCAACTAATAACCAGGGATGATATGCTGAAAATCTTAAAACAGAATCTGCAAAAAGCTCAAGATCGAATGAAATCTCAAGCTGATACAAAACGCAGAGAACTCTCATTTGAAGTAGGGGATGTGGTGTTTCTAAAGATACAACCCTATAGGCAAAAAAGCTTGGCTAAACGGCGATATGATAAGCTCTCTCCCAGGTTCTTTGGGCCTTACAAAGTTACACGCAAGGTGGGGCCTGTTGCTTATGAGTTGGAATTGCCTCCAGATGCTCGCATTCATCCAGGGGACTGGGAATTTGACGTGCAGCCTAAAGAAGTTCTCTCTCACCGCTGGGTATGGGAAGCAGGTCAGCATGTGCTGGAGTTACTCATCTCTTGGTGTCAACGTATAGTGGAGGAAGCTACTTGGGAGTGTTCTGATCTGTTGCGAGCTCAATTCCCTTCCTTGCGACTTGAGGACAAGTCGTTTTACCGGGCGGGTAGTAGTGATAAGCCTCCAATCAGATTGGTATATTCAAGAAGGAAAAAGATGGCAAAGGGTGGGCCGGCAGAAGTGGAGCAGCTCAAAATGTTAATGGGCATTTCAAACAACCCACTAAGTGGCTGAGTGGGTGGGTTACGTGGCAGTTACCAACTCCCCTGGGAGTGGGATTTATTACTTAAAGTCATGTCATTTTCTTATGTGATTATCTTTTATTGTATTTTCCTTTGAGAATTTGGAGACTATCCCTTCTCGAATTGGGACTTGATGTACCTTTTTTCATTCTAAATTCAATCAAGCTCAAGCTTTATCAGTTTAACACTGAAATTTATGCAAAAAAGTGTCCTTGCACTCTATTTAGTTACTCCCTCCATCCATTAATTTTTTTCCCACTTTCTTTTTTGGGTTGTCCAAAAATTTCTTTCCCGTTTCCTATTTTTGGCAAAAAGCTTTTGATGAATGTTCGATTGTACCCCTACTTTTTCTCTACACTATTCACATTATTCCATCACATCAAGGGAAAAACATGTAAAGTCTTTACACTTTGTAACTTTTCTTAATCTTTGTGCCAAGTCAAACCGGGAAAGAAATTTTTGGACAGAGGGAGTATTTATTTTGATTTGTAATCCTTACTAGAAAAATGGAAAAGTTAGTTTGATAATGTGAAAAATAATGCTAACTACACATTGAAGATGAGAGAACATTCTACTTCATATAGGATCTCCCCAAAAAGTTAGTTTGATAATGTGAAAAATAATGCTAACTACACATTGAAGATGAGAGAACATTCTACTTCATATAGGACCTCCCCAACCCCCCCCCCCAAACCCCCCAACCCCAAAGGTTCCATTGAAGTTGTGTAACAAAGCTCCATACCTTAGAATGAATTTAAGAATCAATTGATGAAGGACATAAGAAGTAGACTTGATGCATTTGGAAAAACAACTTACTTGAATGATACTGTCGGTATAACACCAAAGACTATCATGAGAAACAGCACAGCTCTAGCTGTTGAGATTTCTGAAGTCATTTAAAAGGATAAAAAGGTCAAATCAGGTTGTTAATTTCAATGCATCCATTCATATTCCCTACATAGTACAAACTATAGACTACGGAACCATGAGGGGAAAGGGGGCTAAAGGGTTTTTTTTAAGGCGGGATTAAAGGGTATATTGACTCAACCTGAAATAAGAACTACAAACTTGTACTCCACAAAGAATTCAGATAATATACACACCAGTAGAACAGCAGGAAGTAAAACACAAGATTCTGGAATAATTCCAGTGGAATTTGTTGTTGACACAAATCACTCAAGACATGCATAACGTACCGTTTATAAATGGAACCCAATTCAAATATGGCACCGACTTCCCGAAATATTGAGCCCACCACTCGGCACCTAAAGAAAGTTTCAAAGTAATTAAACGGCAGAACGAGCTAAGACTGAAAATTAAATTAACATGAGACTTAGGTAGGCGGATCACTTGAGGAAAAGTGAAAATACCAACTAAAGCAGTAAAAAAATGGGCAAGATATATCAGCATGAGACCCTCAGTAGGACCATTTATTGCCGGGAGAATAAGTGTGTTGGTGAAATAACTGCAAGAACAACAAATTAGTGTTTTTACTGGTCATAGCTTAATGATCTAGTATTCAGAACATTGTATACTGATCAATAAAGAGATATGTGATTTTATTATTTAAAAAAGCAAAGTGAACAACACGTGAAAGTTGATGTTCACACGGTCAAACCTTATCTTGTTTTGTTAACTATTCTCTTTAATCATTTGTCTAAATACTCCCTTCGTTCTTAAATACCTTCGACGGTATGACTTGAACATTGTTTAAAAATTTAAAAAAACTATTGCACATTTGTGTAAAGTTATTTAATGAGAAAAATAGGTTGAATTGATGGAAGAGTAAAAGAAACAGTTGATGTGAAAGAGAAAATTTCACAAAAAGAAATTGTGTAAAGTAAATTGGAACGTCCCAAAAAGGAAAGTGTACAAAGTACTCCGTACTTAGGATTAGGAATGAAGGAAGTATACAAATTTTGTTGTTTTAGTTCTACAGTCTACACCAAAATTTAAATAAATTGAATTGAAAAATACTGCAGGTAGGCATCATAAACTGAAACAAGAAGATTAAATAGGTAAGGAGGGACTGGGGGAGTAATAGACTGTAACAGATCAAACATCACTTGATAGTTGAAACTCACTGTTCCCATGTAGCACAATAAAACGGAACAACTGATATAAACCAGAACCAGAAAGTAGCTGGTCCACACATAGCACTGCTCCCAAAGGCCAAGGATTCAAACTGAAAGACAAACATATAGCATCTGTAAAGCATCACCTTTACTCCTTTACCATGGAAAATATATGAAAAGTAGAAACTATGCTTACCGTACAGGCAAGTGCATCACATCCTGGTTAATTTGTTGGACGTAACGTCATTTATCAAAGGTGTAGTATGAGCACCCAATTAGTAACAAATAAAGCACAAAATAATGCAAAAAATAGTTAAGGAATATCACCATGATCAAAAAGCTCTCCCAATGGACTGGATGAATTTGTTCGTCTTGCTTGTTTTCCATCTACTGCATCAAATGTCTAAGAAGCATTTTGGTAGAGTCATAAATTGTTAAGATCATACAGATTGGTGGACCAACTTTAGAGGTACCACCATGCTGCAAAATTGTGATATGACTCTTACACAATGAAAGTATACAGATTGGACAATTCCTTAACGTATTTTACACCAGCAAAATCTATTAACCCAAACTCAAGCATTTTCAGTGTTAATTTGTAGCTAGATTGATTTCACATAGTTTCTAAACCACCAAGTGCCACACACTCACTACAATGGATGCAATGAGATATATACCAACTTGTCAACAACAAAGACCAAATGCCAAAGATGTGGCTGACAGCACTGCTCCACGGAGTGATAGGTGTAAATGGATAATAATCCTACCACCCCGGAATAAGGTTCCACAATTGACAAGCACCGATATTAAGAACGGTGATATTGTGTGAATGAGATCTATGCATGGGAAAGAAAAAAAGAATACTCCGTATGCGTCATGCAATGCTTTCCTTAGAAGAAAAATGAAAGCTTTTTGGGACAAACAACAAAGGAAATGTAAAACCTTTTTGTTTTGGGTGAGAGGGAGTAATGAACATGTACATACATTCTTTTATACGAGTCCTACATAAAGAATAGGTGAACCTGGTAAAGGAAGAGAAGTAAGCCATGTGCAAAATGAACCCATCTTGGAGGTGGTGAATCCAATTGAGGGGAATATATCTGCGAAAAAGCACTCGGTAAGCAAGCAAATATTGGAATAGTAAGTCCAATGAATGTTTTGTATATGGGAAAATATAAAATAACTATTTGATGGTTTTAGAACATGTCTAATACTCTAATCTACCTTAAGTTTATAGTTTTCACTCAAACATAAAAAGAAACATTACATAATTTGTCCAATAAAGTTACTCCCTCCGTCCCAAAAAGATTTTTACAGTTTATTTACACGGTCATACCATATCTTGTTTCTTAACATATTTTCATTGATCATTAGTTAAAATAAAATAATGAAGTCACCTATTGTTTTGTTGAACTCTTGATGTAGCTCTTTAAATATATAATTTTTAATTTTTAATTTTACACCAATATTCAAATAAATTGGATTGAAAAATAAACTTGGTCAAACATTGTAAACTGAAACATAAATACTCCGTATAAATTTGGGACGAATGGATAATTAAATAAGTTTGCCAACCTGATACCTTAACCAAGAAGCAAAACGCAAAGCCAAAAAAAAAGAAGTCCAAATTCCCAAGTATGCAACACAATGTCTGACCAACTTACAGTCTATAGTAAACACCGACAAACAAAGTAGATATACTATACAGAGCAGGAATAGCTGAATGGGGAACTGGGATAAAAGTACAACTTACATAGCCAAGCAATGCAGAAGTGACTAAAAACAAAAATCCAGTGAGTGTAATCTGAAAATGGAAGGGTTTGTATCAGATAAAGTCACATGAAAAAATGAGGATTTATGTTTGGATCTAACACAAGATTGATTATAGAGTATTTACCATATTGGGCCTAGTAGAGCATATCCAACACATGCATAAGAGGACAAAAAAATATTAGGTAACCAATTAGAGAAAACAAATTAAAGGATTAGCATAAAATAGCCATCACTCTAGCAAAATTTATTAAAAAGAAATTAGACACAGTCAAGGTCTTTCATATGCAAATTATGAATATTAACACAGAACTACAGAGGACGTTGCCAAGCAAAACCCAGCGATAGTAATCGTTTCCCAACTTGAAATGTAATTATAAGAACTATAATGAAGAACCAGCCTTTCTAACAAAAGACTAAACCACTGAAACTGATATCCCCAAGAGTGCCGTGGGATTCAATCTGATAAAATATATACTGTTCCATCCATCCCAAATTTATTTTCCCATGTGAAAAAGTGAGATTATGTGGTGGAGGAGAAAGAAATAATGTGAACCACACATAAATTTCTTAAAATAAATGGAAATATCATTTTGGGCCATCCAAAAAAGAAAGGTGGGGAGATCATTTTGGAATGGAGGGAGTAACATTTATATTACCCAATAGTCCATTACATTCCTCAAAATGATTCTTTCTCGAATTTCTTATCCACAACCATTTACTTTCGTGGGAATCCAACACACAAACACACACACACAAATAGATTATGCAACTCAGACTCACTGCTCTTGCACTAAATGGTAAGGGAATCAAATATCTACAGAGCCAAAAAAGGTCATTATACAATCACTACTGAAAGATTCATAATTTGATGAATGTAGTCACTGCACTGTAATTGAGGTGTGCACTCACACAACCACACACAAGAACACAAAATTTTGGCATTGAACGCTTAGAAAAGCAATGGTGTACATAAGGAGATGTGTACTTACGGCATCCAGAGAGGGAAGAAATTGACACAGCGACTCCAGAAGGGCTGCAACACATACTTGGCTACATAAGAGTGGTCCACTCCGCTGTACTTGTAACGATGCAATGCTGCTATTCCGTGTGCCCCCATGTACCCCATCTTTTAACTCTTGAACCTAAGAGAAGACTCTTCAATAATTAGAGAAATAGTTTATTCCCTAACACTATGATCAATTCATCATCTCAGACAAGCAGAGATGCAATGGAAAATGGAGTTCTTAGATATTTTATTTTTTTAAAACTAAATGGCATAGAATCAGAAACTGCAAATATGCATATAAATACAGATACATACGAGCAGGCTGGATGGAGAGATTTTGGGAGTGCAATAACAAGCAGAAGGATGCTTCCCGCCCTAGGTGAATATGATGAAAGGTGGTGTACAAACTTTTAATCAAACTGGAAACCTAATTTCCAATCTCTATAATCCTTGGCATCACATTGAATGAATCAAATTGCAGCATAAAACCTAACATTCTAACATTCAACGGCCTGGGCGAGATAGAAAAAAAGGCCCTAAAAATCTTATCCCTAATGGTCTAACAAATTAACAAATGTAAACTAATTATATTTAAATGATAATTAACGCAATCTGTTAATATAATGCAGGGAACGAAGAAGAAATTTAAAATGATGCACACGGCTCATGCTAAATGTTTGCCAGATGTTGCATACTATAGCCTCTAAGTGAAACTTCCTTTACTTTTCTGTTTGGTTATTCTCATAAGTAAATGGGTCACCCATTTGGATTCGCCTCATTGAAAAGGCTGCCCATAAATTCTTCTCTAAACCCCTCAATGTATGGGAACTTTGACGCTGTCGACTCCCTTTTAGGGGACCCCCTTTTTAAGTGAATGATGTATGCCTTTACCTTATGAGTAGCCACAGACCAATATAAGCTGTCTTTGTACTCCGTAGATGTTTTATATCTTCAATTCTTCATATGGTATCCATGTAGCAGTGTACTACTTTGGCTTATTTTGTGTCATGATGTAACTTGAATTCTAATCATATAAGAAGACTTGACTTCCTTTTCTAAAGCTATTATAAACTTTCCTCCCAATCTGTTAATATAATGCAGGGAACGAAGAAGAAATTTTAAATGATGCACACAGCTCATGCTAAATGTTTGCCAGATGTTGCATACTGTAGCCTCTAAGTGAAACTTTCTTTACTTTTCTGTTTGGTTATTCTCATATGTAAATGGGTCACCCATTTGGAGAACTTACCACCTATATGTTACAATTGATAACAAAGTGTAGATTAATGTAATTAAATTGATGTGGTATAATTTTGGGTAACTTTGAACCAATTTGGCCTCTTCCTCTCTAGCTAACTTTATTATTTGACCTGTTTCAGATAGATAGCATCCAAAATTGACCTACATATAAGTAAACGAGTCACCCATTGGTGGAACTTACCACCTCTAAGTTACAATTAATAACAAAGTGTAGAAGAACATAATTAAATTGATGTAGTTTAATTTACAGTTAATAAGAAAGTCTAGATTAATATAATCATTTAACCTTTTAGTATAATACTGAGTATTTTTAGGAGTTTGGGACTTGAAATGCTACAGAACAGTTCTGGTTTACCACACCTCCAGATGTGGGCCCTTATGTTCCTTATACTTTTAGTCTTACACGCTTACAGCTATTGAATCTAATGCTTGTTAGCTTATTTACTCAATAATATGACTGATAAGTTGTTTGATTGACTTCTTTCTGGAATCTTTAGGAGATCTTGGTCAAATGTCTGACTCAAACTGAACTTCAACTCATTACGAGTCAAAACCACCAAAAGGGCAGGCTGTGCTCTTGGTCGGTGAAATGTCATGAAGTTTACAGTCTTAGGTATGAAGCATGGACTATGGAGCTCCTTTTAAAAGAGGATTTTTATGAAATTAATTAAACTTCAGGATTCTCTTTACTGGAACACTAGAATTTTATAATAAACTGGAATATCTCTTCTCAAATTAAAAAACTGCATATTGTCAATATTTTGAAATAATTGATTTTTGTAATCCATATGCCAAATATTGTAGAGTTATCCACTACCTAGCCATTCTCCGATTGTATTATTCAACATATGTCCTTTTGCTAATTAAAGGTTTGACCTTATCCTAAGTAGTTCATGGATTCTATACTACTATAAGAGCATTTGCGCTTGTGAGACTGAGTGAGATAATTTGCTTAATGTTTATCTATATTATCATTTTGAATGTTTTAATAACACATCCCTTATAATTAATAATCAAGTTGTTATATATACTCTTGAGTCAAAACTTCAGTTTCTAATTAGTGCTATTTTGACATGGCTTAGGCGGCAGTGAATGGCATTGATGGTTCTTAACAGTCTATAGCTGATGTTGCTCGTTGCTTGATTCAGAAAGCTATAAGTGCAAACCATGCCTATACATATGAAGATTCCTTTTTAGGTATCTCTTTTACATGTTTCTCTACACAGGTTTAAATGAGGTTAATTACAATATAATTTTAGACTTTAGTATTATTTTTGTAATGTGTTTGTTATTTCGACTACTGCAGCTTTTGGTTTTAAAGATGGTGATTTCAATATCTTCATTCTACTACGCTTCCAATCTTCTGCGCCTCACCCAATATATCTTCTCTTTTCTAAACAATCTTTGTGATCCTTTCAATCCACGAAGATTTGCTCCAACCCACCATCCGACCTCCACCTCTCTTTCCCCCTATCCTCACGCCACTCAATCAGCCGTCCATAGTAAGTCAGCTTATCACGTCCACATTTCAATTTGATTTTGGTTTATTGATTACATAGATATGATGGGTTTGAGAGTATGGTTGCTTTGCAATGAAATTATGCTACCAAAACAGCAAGTTATTTGCACAGATGGAATTTTTGTTGCTGAGAATTTGGTATAATATTTTAACACATGATATGCCTAAACTAAGATGCAACTCAAAGCACTTGTGAAATTATTTTCGTTTCAATTTTTTCTGAAATTAGATTTGAATCACATTGTTTTTTCTCATTTTTGTTTAGCTTAAAACAAACAAACACAACAAAATCCGATAAAAGTAGGCCGTTTCTAAGACACTTTTAAAATAAAATCACAGAGTTAAAAAAACTTCTTTTTAAGCAAGATGCAAAAAAGATTCTCAAGTTGAATTGCACAAATCCTAACTCTAAATGTCTTCTAATTTATGGACATCAAGTTAAATCCAGTCTATAGATGGCTTTTGATTCATACTCCAATGAGGTGAAATATCTAAGGCCTCTAAGGAGAAGACACTACCGTTTAGAAAGAGGACAACCGCTTAAACCAACAAAGGATGATAATGATAAGATTGAGATCAATACTAAGGCTGTAGAAGATTTAGAGGTTGAAGGTGACAATACTGAAGGTATGGGACACTAACCTTGATTATGATGTTTGCGTGATCTTGATGTTTAGAGATTAAATATATAGATCATCTGAAATTACTGAAATCTTCCTTTTAGAAAAGTTAAAGGAAGACGTAATGTACAATTTGGCTCTGCCTTATCTACCTGACCAGTTTGATTCAAAACCTTGAGTAACTTCAATGTCAATTTACTCTTGTATAATAGCTAAGTGGGTCATTGCCCAATTAACAGTGAGTCTACTCAGCTGCTCGCGTGCATGAGGTTGCAAAAGTGGAAGAGGTAAGTTGACTTTGGTAGGTATCATCATAGTAAAAAAGTCAGACTAGAATGTTAAGAAATAATAGGAAGAGATTAATCTATTTATTCAATGGTGTTGAGACAAAATTTGCTGAAGTGAATACCTTAAATTCACCACAAATCATTTGAAGTTGATTTAAATGAGTTATAAATTTTATAAATACTAAATTTGGGGATTTTAAATGTTAAACATTCGAGAATGAATGCAAGAGAGTGACAATCTTAGGAATCAATTGTTCATATAGAAGAATCAATTGATATTTGGCCATTCCATCCAGTTTCATTTATAGGAGGTTATTACTTTTGTTCTAATTTTGAGACAGCGTTATATTGATACTACCTACTACTCCGTATATAGAAAAGAAAAAATTGATCCACTTTTCCTAAACACATTAAAGGCGTTTTTGATAAAGCTTGGAAAACTATGCAGGGAAAAATTGAGAAACTGAATGACGTGAGGCATTTTATTGTAGACGGGAAAATTTCAATCTCCCTCCTATAAAGTGAAATGTGGCAACTAAATGACACAGTTTCATGTTTCTTCTTACTCCGTATGAAGTATTTGCGGTTTGGCAACTACGGCCTGTATTGAGTATATTCTTTTGGAATAAGTTAATGGATGCATTGGGAAATTGTGAACCCAAGTTTCATAATAGGAATGTTAAGCTTTGGAAATTATATGTTCTTAGTGATGTCTGACTGGGAGGAAACCTATACTAAAATTTGATATATGTTCTTTAACTTAATTTAGATTTATATATTTTCAAATATGGCATTGATAATTGGGACTGAAATGTAAACTCATGGTTTCTACTTCCAACTTTGACTTTTCCAAGTTATATTGGATGATTTTTTTTGTTTCAATCAAATAAAAATCATAATTTTAAAAAATATATTTACATATATATGATTTTTTTATTGAAGGATATCATATATGGGTTATACTTAAAATTATATATTTAGATATTATTCATTTTAAAATGTAAAAAAGGATTTTTAAATTTTTTGAATTCAACTAAAATTATAGAATAAATATATTCCCGTGCAACGCACCGGGGAAATACTAGTATCTCATAAATTCAAATCAATTCATCCAAATCAAATAAAAAACATATGGAACCATTAATTCATTCATATTTCATAGCAATTAGCAAAGATTTCAAACTAAAAATTAATAATTAACCCTAAATTTTGAATCCAAAGAATGAAACAATGAGAGAAAGAAAATATGAAAAAAAATTAAAAATTGGAAATATAGTGAATACGGAATACCTGGAGGGTGTAGCTGCGTCTCTCGGCAATCGGCACTCTCTCTTTCCAATTTGGTTTAGGCAGTCGGCTTCGTCCTTCGAGCTTCTGGTTTGCGTTGGTTGCCTACGAAGACAGAAGGGATGGGCGGCTGGGGAGATGGGCTTTTAACTGTTTGTCCCCCTATTGGGCCGGCCCTGGGTTAAAACCAGACAATTCACCACTTAAACCATCGTCAGCTAGTATGATCAATTCCTTACCGTGAACAATAATGTCGGTCACGGTTCACCAGGCGTTGTCGATAGCTTGGCCGATGCTTTCGAGGGATTCCTGATCGGCGGCAGCGCCTGACTCGATCCTTGCGGGCAAGTCCTTGACGGCGCGGCGGCAAGCAGGTTCTGGAATCGTGGCAGCCTCAACCCTTTCTCGATCACAGATGAAATTCTCGAGATCTCGAAGCTAGTCCTGAATCACAGATTCGGAGTTTGAATTAAAACATCTCATTTCTCGACGTCCATGGGTTACCGATAGCAATATTCGGGTCGGCATCCGGAGCTTCGAGAGGACGTAGGGTTCGGATTATAATTTTCTTTTTTTTTTTGGTAGTACAATGCAGAAAAAAGCTAGAAAGATTCGCAATTCTTTGTCGTTTTTTCCATATCTCCTTCCTCCACAAACTAGTATAAATCCATTCTAGAACTCATATTTACATTGACTAATGCTAAGGTTACACCAAATGTACACCACCTTATTTTCCTCCATACATTTTTATTTGATTTTTATTTACTTATTTTTTTTGAATTTTTTTGCCTTTTTTAGTGGACAAAAAGGGTGTGGGGATATTTGGGGTACACTTTTAGTGTACCCTAGCATTTTTCATTTACGTTATAAAATCATATTGGTGTCGAGGATTTAAAATAAAGTTTATAATTAAATATGAAGTATAAAGCTGTAAAGTATGAATATCAGATGAATTCAAATTATATTAGTACTTACAAATCATTAATTGCTACCTCGTATTTTTTGTTACACGCAACACAGTGGCACGGTGCAATGTATCCAAGTGTAGAAACAATTAATCTCCACCAAGGATGATTGTTTTTCCTCCGAACATTTGATTTTCACTCATTTGATTGGAATATTGTAGAATATTGTGCAAACATTTATCTAAAGCTTCAAAATAATATTCATGCGTCATTGATGTTTCCACCGAATTATGCCAGTGGAGTTCCTTGCTTTGTGCTGCAAGTTGAGTTTTCATCTGGATTAAACGATACTTTAAAATGTCAATAGATTGTTTTTCCAAGAGACAAAAGAAATGATATTATTGCACTCGATGCAATATTCAATACTATATCGCCGTTATATTGTATCCAATCAGATAAGTTCTCTAAAAATACATCTTTCCAGTTCCAATGAAGAAAATTTTACCTGCATTTGTATCAACTAAATGTATTATAGTGTCATACGGTACACATTGTTCGTCATTTAACGTATCCATAAGGGCGATGTGCTCACTTGTCAAGGCTACATGATAAGGGTCGTTGAAGTTTAGGTTCGGACCGAAAAAAACTAACTAAACCGGACCGTTAGGTCCAGACCGCACCCTGACCAAGTAAATTTCGGGTCAGACTTCGGTCTCAAAAAACTAGGTGTTCGAGGTTTGGTCCTATCCAGTCCAAACCTAAAATAGTTTAGGTCCGGATCGATTGGACCAAATGAACATAAAATTCAATTGGACCTAAAAGACTTAAATATTAAAACTCTACTTTTTATGTTCTATATTACACATTGATGCTCTATTTTAATAGACAGCTTAATTTATTTAATTAAAACGATTTTTATTAAGTAATTTTTAAAAATTCAAAAAAGTTTTACATTAGTTTGTGTGATTCTACATAGAAGTAGTTTATGTTGTATATCTACTTTTAGGTAACCCATTTTTTTCTATTTGTAGACTACAAAATATATTTAATTGATCAAAATAATTTTAAAAATATTTTTATTCGCTCCAGACTCGTCCGGTCCGGCCTGGCCCAAACCTAAATAGGTTTAGGTTCGTTCTTTGATCTGTAATTATATTCAATTCGGTCCTCGGTCCTATTCAGATCGATTCGGTTTGGTCCGGTCTTGGATCGATTAACAACACAATACTCGATCGTTATTATGTGTGTATGTGTGTGTGTGTGTGTGTCTGTGCGTGTTTGTGAACATGCAAGTCCTAGACTATGAGGGTGTTTGGAAGTGTGGTGAGTTATGTAAAAGTATAGTAGAAGTCATAATTTAAAAGCGGAAAGCATGTATTTGTAGCTTTGTTAGAAAACACTTATAGACTTTAATTTTAACCTATAAAGCCATAATTTATAAGCTAAAGCAGATTAACAAACATTTAAAATTGTGTTTTAGTAAAGTAAAAGCTATAAGTGATTTTCAAATGTAATCCCAAACATCCTCTATAAAATTAGAATTAGTATTCTAACCCGTGGCATGCACGGGGTTGAAAGAAATTTATGTCGATTCTGAATTATTTCAATGAAATTTATTTTTCGAAATAAAGAAAATTTATTGCTCACATGATTTTTAATAATACAAATGAAAAAAGCCAAAGTAAAATAAATAATATTTGAGAAACAAAATGTAGAGTTAACAATGTTTATTTTAATACCAAATTTTCTAAAAGACTTCATGATATACAACATTTTTGGTATGATTGCAAGGGTTTCCATTGTCTTCTAGAACTAATATTTTTAATATTGTTTTTGTCTTCACTCGTGAAACAACAAAATATAGTTGACCATGTGTGAACACTGACTTGGTTAAAAATAATCTCACAAATAACAATATTTGACCTTGACTTTTGTTGATAGTCATAGCAAAACATGAACCGATCGAGAATTGTCTTATTTGGAACTTCAAGTGTAGTCCTGGATCAGATGATACAAAATTCATTACAGGGATGTAAACTTTTTCCCCGATTCGATTTCCCGAAACAAAAATTGCATCGATAACATTATTTTGCAACTCTTGAACAATTAATCTTGTCCCATTACACAATCCAGATGTTTGGTCAATGTTCCTCAATAGCATAATTGGTACCCCTTTTTCAAGACTATTTTGTGGTTTGGGATTCCCGAACATTTGATTTCGTTCGAAAACTCAACTGTTATCCAATCGTCATCAATACATACATCTGCTTCTGCTTGGCACGAAGAATCAAAACTTAAGTACTCCTTTTCATCACCAAGAATGAGGGATAGAACAAATTCATTTATCATTTTAACTACTGCGAGAGATGGTGCCAATAGTGTTCTATCCTCAAAAAAGAATATTTTTTCATATTTTCAAACATAAGTCATTTTCCAATATAGGACTTAAACATTTTCAAATTTTTTCATTTTCATTTTTCAAATTTCCCAATAATATATATATTTGTGTGTGTGTTTGTGAACACGCAAGTCCTAGACTATGAGAATGTTTGAGAGTGTGGTGAGTTATGTAAAAGTATAGTAGAAGTTATAATTTAGAAACAGAAAGCATGTATTTGTAGCTTTGTTAGAAATCATTTCTAGACATTAATTTTAACGTCTAAAACCATAATTTATAAGTTAAAACAGATTAGCAAACATTTAAAATTATGTTTTAGTAAAGTAAAAGCTATAAATTATTTTCAAATGTAATCCCAAACATTCTCTATAAAATTAGAATTGTAGATTTAAGATTATTGGATGCATTTATTTCTTTTTTAATACTCATTAATATCGTACTTATAGGAATACAATTATCCTATCATAAAAAATTACTCCGCGGGAATTAAGATTTGTTTTTGTGTTTTTTGTCCCATTTTTTTATATTTATATAAATTTTATATTAAATTTATAGTATCTAATATTAAGTACTCCCTCCGTCCATATATGATCTTCCCATTACGCGTTACGAGGCTTGACCGACTTTATTTTCAATTCAATTTAATTGATTATAGGAGTAAAATTTTAAAATAAAATTTATATAGTACTCCCTCCGTCCGGATTTTAAGTTCCCAGTCTACTCTTTTTTCCGTCCGGAAATAAAGTTCCCAGTATACGTTTTTTTACCCACTCTTCCTAAAATACCCTCCCCACACACCCCCTTATCTTTTCTCCCGGCTCTTTCTTATTCATCGCCCAACCTTTCCAATCTATCTTCCTTTTCTTCTCTCTCTTCCTCCTCCTTCCTCTTCTTCTTCTCTCGTTCTTCTTCTTGTTCTCTACTGAATCCACCTTCCTTTCTATTCCTTCTCTCTCCAAAATTAGCTCCTACTCCTTTCTTTTTCTTTTTTTTCCTCCTTCATTCCTCTAATTGTCTTCTCAGATCTGCGGTAGATCTATGCAGATCTACGCTTTGATTATCATCATCATTTTATTCTTTATAACGATGGTGGTAGTTTGGGGCGATGGTAGGGCTGGCGATGACGGTGGAGTTGGGTGATGGTGGCGAGGGTTGGCGGAAATGGAGTCGGCGGTGACGATGGTGGGGGGGGGTTAGCGGTGATGGTGGGGCTGGACTGATGGTAGTGGGGTCTAATGAAGATGGTGGACCGACGATGACTATAGGCTGCGGCGGTGGGAGCGGTGGTGGGTTGGTGGTAGTGGGAGTTGGGGTGGCCATGGTGTGGTCGTGGCCCAATCGGGAATTGGAGGCTGGGCAGTTGCAAGCCTTCAAATCAGGCATTGGGTACCAAGGGTATTTTAGACAAACTACATTCAGAGTCAACACATATTAAAAATGAGAAAAAGTCAAATCGGGAACTTAAAATCCGGACGGAGTGAGTAATAAACTACATGAAAAGTTCTACAAAACTAGAGGTGACAAGACTATATTATTTTACAAAACTAGAGGTGACACCACTTGTTTTGTTGAACTTTTGATGTAGTTTTTAAATATGTATGTTTTATTTTTTATTTCTATTTCAATATTTAAATAAAATAGATTGAAAAAACTTAAGAGTTTTCTTTATTTTGCGCAACGAGAAGAAAATTTTAGGACGGAGAAAGTAATACACTATAAAATCAATAAGTGGTGTGATCACGGGGGAGCTAATACATCAAATGTAACCCATATTCCTCATAACTTAATGGATGGGGTTATCCTCGTGAAAAAATGATTTCCCCGGCGATTCCGGATGGATCACACCCACGCAAACTGGCACGTGGAATCCAAAAAATTAGAAATAAAAAAATGCAAAACGTTAAACCGAAAGGAAGAAAATTTGCGGACCACGAAATCGGGATGACCCCGTGGGCCCGGGCAGACGGGAGTGGACGGTCATAACAAATCAAGAACTAGGGCAAAATCGTCCAAGTCTGTCATATAAATATGAGAGTTTCTTTCTCCTCCTTCACCCTTGTAAGCCTCAAGCCGCTCCTGTCGCATCTTCTTCCTGCCTAATCTCTCTCTCAAGGATTCAGACAAATCCACGAACCCTAATTCGGATCCCTTCGTCGGTGCATCGCGGAATCACGGCTTCCATCGAAATTCCGATCTCGACATTGTAAGTCCGATTCATGTGCCCGCACTGATTTACATCGCGTTTCATGCTCGAGAAATTGTTGTTTTTTGATGAATCTAGGTTTGAGAGGTCGATTTGATTGTTAAATTGCTCAGTTTTGTTCGTTTTTTGTGCCCGCATCTGTTTCCTGATGGATCTTTAGCTGTTGGAATCATAATTTCGGATCTTTCGTTTTGTGCATTTTTTGATCGGCGATCATTCGAATCTGGGCATGTTAATTACGAATTAGTCTTGATCCGCGCGTTATGATTGATGAGAGCATACATTTTGATCTGTTGGTTTATTGAACCTATAAATGGTCTCACCGGATGTAATAGTTAACTACTCCATATTTGATACAATTATGATCATATAATATGGATTTATGTTTCTAGAAATACAGGGTTTTGATGTTTCTGTTTGATTGTTAGACCCAACTGCTTTATGATTCAGGCTATCTTGTGTTATGTGTTCATGTTGTGTTAGTAGTTGATAGAAACTTGTGATGTCTGACCTTTTCTTTTCAAATGTTGAATTTGCAGGATTGAATGTTCTAATGGAGTCTAATCGTGGGAAAAAGTCTAGTAGTAGTAGTAGTAAATCGTTCTACGAAGCTCCTCTCGGTTACAGCATTGAAGACGTCAGGCCAAACGGTGGAATCAAGAAATTCAGATCTGCTGCATACTCTAACGTATGTCTCTTAATTCTGCCTTGTTCTAACAATGAGTTTTTTTGTCAATTGATAATTTCTTTACAATGTTTATATATTCCTTATGGTTTTGTTTTTGTGTTCTTCTTTTGCAGTGCGCTCGCAAGCCATCCTGATATTCCCTAAATTGCCCTTCTTCTCACGTCTGCGACGTGATCTTTTTTTGTTTGCTTTCTTTTTCAATTCCTTTCCTTTCTTTGCTTTGTTACAGCACCTCCTTTTTCTTCTTTATTTTGCTGCTTCCTTGCTTGCTTTCCCTTATCATTCCCAGAAATTGCCATCTCTTTGATTTTTGAACATTTTATTGGAAATGGAATTGGAAATGCTTGCGTCTGCTATTGGTTTCGAAGGATATGAAAAGAGGCTTGAAATTCTGTTTGCCCAACCTGGAATCTTTACGGATCCTCAAGGAAAGGGTCTACGTGCTCTCTCTAGAGCCCAATTGGATGAGTTTCTTGGCCCTGCTGAGTGCACAATTGTTTCTTCTCTGTCAAATGAGTTCTTGGACTCATACGTCCTCTCTGAATCAAGCCTCTTTGTCTATCCATACAAGATCATCATCAAAACTTGTGGAACAACTAAATTGCTTCGTGCAATCCCGCCTATTCTGAAGCTTGCGGAATCCCTTTCTCTGGATGTTCAAACTGTGAGGTACACCCGAGGCAGCTTCATCTTCCCTGGAGCGCAGTCATATCCTCACCGAAACTTTTCCGAAGAAGTTTCTGTTCTAGATAGCCATTTTGGATACCTTGGAAGCAAAGCATTGGTTTTGGGTGGCTCAGATAGCCCACAGAAGTGGCATGTCTACATTGCTTCATCTGCTCCTATCAAATCAAAGAACCCTGTCTACACTCTCGAAATGTGCATGACTGGTCTGGACCAGGATAAAGCTAGGGTCTTTTACAAGAACGAATCGAGTTCTGCTGCTTTCATGACACATAAGTCTGGAATAAGGAATATCCTTCCAGAATCTGACATTTGTGACTTCGAGTTTGATCCGTGTGGCTATTCCATGAACTCTATTGAAGCTGATGCCATATCCACCATTCATGTGACCCCTGAAGATGGGTTCAGCTATGCAAGCTTTGAAGCTGCCGGGTATGATCTTGAAGATGTTAAACTGCCAGCGATGATTGAGAGGGTGCTTACGTGCTTCGAACCGAGCGAGTTCTCTGTAGCGGTCCATGCCGATGTGTTGGGGAAATTTCTTGAGCAAACTTGCTCTCTGGAAGTGAAAGGTTACCACCTGTGCGAGAAGAACGAGGAGGAGTTTGGTGTGGGTGGCTGTGTTGTCTACCAGAAATTTACCAGGGCCCACACCTGCGATTCGCCAAAGTCTGTTCTTGAAAGCTCCTGGAAGCAGGCAGGTAAAGAAGAAGAGGAGTTCTATTGCTGAGGGTTATTTGTTTGTTTGTTTTTGTGTCAGAAGTCCTTACAATTGTCGTCTGACTCTTCTTGGTTCTCCCAAGCAGAGGGTTCTAAGTCATTGTTATGAGTCTTTTTTCTTGGCGTCTAGTGGTCAGTAATAACGTCCAGTCCCAGCTTGTTGGCGTTTGGACTTGAAACACTGTTGTTATTGTGGTTTAAAAAAATGCTTTTCAAGTAATGCAATTATTGTCATATTTTATTCAATCTTAACCATCTATAGTTGTTTTTATTTTGCTTTCCAAAATTGGTATAGAATTTTAGAATAAAAATTACATATTTAAAAAAATTACATAAAAATATTTATAAAATTAGATGTGACATGATTGTTATTATATCAAATGGGCAAAGAAAATAAGCCAACATAGTGAATAATAGGCCAACATAGTGAATAATGTTTACAAAACATTATTGTTGGACGGAGCGAGTATTATAGAATTCACTGCTTTTAAAGAAGGTATATTTAATTTTTTGAAAAGGTAAATGAGAAATATGTCTTTTACTACCTTTTCCTTTCAATATGCTCTACTATGAGGTCCCGTTTGGTATATGGAATTCAAATTATGGAATTGGAATTGGAGACTTCAATTCTAATTCTGGTGTTTGGTAGCACAAAAATTATGTGGATTTGGAATTGATATTGCAAAAAATGAATTGAAATTGACAGAATTCAATTCTATGGAATTGAATCTCATTAAAATTTCAATTCTAATTCCTTATACCAAACGGATCCTGAACATTTCTGAATGGCTAATCTCCTATGTAATTCATTTTACAAATAATACTTCAATTTCAAATATCCAACTATGAACCACAAACTTTATTTTGGAAAGAAATCACAATTTCAAAAAAAAATAGTGATTGTTTTTTTGTAACACTAAAATGGAATCCATTAAACTACATGAAGGAGCTTTAGCAATCCAACAAAGTAGCTATGATAAAAGTAGTAGATTATGGACGCATATACTCTAAGTGCTCAACAACCCAGTAACCACGTGAACCATTCCATAATTCTATGAATCTTTTTTATAATTTGTGGTCAAAGTTTGACCACAAGAATTAAAACGAGAAGAAAAATATGAGACGGAAACAATAATTACAAATGACAAAACGGTATATTGGTGGGAAAAGTGAAAAACCCTTGTGATATATAGGCTTTGTTTGGTAACAGCGTTTTCGATTAGCGTTAGCATTTTGGATAAAATTTTAACGGTGCAGATTAATTCTGAAAACGCTAACGCTAAAGGCTACCGTCGGATAGCTTTTTCAAAACGCTAACGCTAATCTCTGACGTTGATGCCAAACGGGGCCATAATTGGCTGGGACCTTTGACATAAATACCCCGAGTGCATTATCGCACAAGTTACGGATGACCGGAAAAGTATTTTGGCGTGAAAAGTTCAAAACCCTTGCGAAACATGGCGGTGCGGACCTTTGACATAAATAATTTCGGTTATTCGGTATATTCTCACACAAGTTATAGATGTAACATAACTACCATTTCATCAAGTGAATGACAAAAATAAACAAAAAAAAAGATTAAAACTTAACTATATAGTCCATAAATAGTAAACAAACAATTTATATGAGAATGAGAGTATATATTTTTGCAATAAAAAATGCGAAATATTTTACTCTCCGCCCTAAAACTTTCTTTTCAGTTACTTTTCACACAATCAAATTTTAATTACTTTTTTTTAATTATTTTCGTTAGTCATTTGATAAAATAATATACTCATGCCACATCTTGTTTTGTAAAGCTTTAGATGTAGTTTTTAATTTTTAATTATACACCTATAATCAAATATATTGAATTGAAAAAAATAACTTCAGTCAAATCTTGTAAAATAGAACAGGAAAAATATTTCAGGACCGGGGATTGATATAATAAAATCCAGAGTAATTTTTGAATGCTTTTTGCAAAATAAATATCACGAAATTAAATTTGTAGCGGTATATACTGTAATTTTTATTTGGTTAACGATCAAAACTCATCCACTTTGACTGTAATAAAGTCAATTTCGACAAATATTCTGTAACGAAAGTAGTAAAAAGCACTAAACAATAATTCCGAAAATAATAATACCGTGGAGTAGTTCAGAAATCCAGCCATTTTGAGAAGTACTCACACGTCTTGGGAGAGATGATTCCATTGTCCGTACATTCGCTCATCCTCGTGCATGCCAAACAAGGTATTGAAGCCCTGTTGTTCATCCTCGGGCCCACCCCAGCGACCCCCCTTGCGATCCTATAACAAACGGCCCCAATCGGTATAGAATGATAGTCTCCCAACCCGTTGCTCTTCACCTCTATAATGGCATTGTCCAACACAAGATTCTTGAGGATTTCACTTATCTGTCCACTGGTGCAGCCACTGAGAGCTTTCCTCTGGTTCAGAAAGTCATAAATTCCCTGGGCAGTGGAGACTTGCTGTTTATTTATGACCTTTACACAAACTTCTTTGAGACGGCTGATGAGCTCTTTGTCAAGATTCCCATTACTGTACCATGCGCCACCTGTGAGTTCCTCAGACGGTTCAAACTCAACCGCCATAAAGTGCTTTCTTGATTTGTTCTGTATGTTCTTGACCGGTTTTATGAGGTTCTTTTTCAGGAGGGACGCGAGGCATTTATCAACCACGTGTGGTGGAAGCTTTGCATCTTTTTTCACGTCGGCCAGCCATATGCCGAGACCCATCCTGCTTTTGATCAGATTGAGAACAACGGTTTCAGCATCTGCCACAGGCTGAGAAGACGAGGGCTCATCTGGTCTTCTCCTCTTCATCTGCGTATAGAATCAGAACATGACAATTTCTTTATTCACAAATTCACATAATAAGTGCATGGATAATAGTGATGTATTGCACTTGTCACACTGGCCATCGATAACCAAGATCAAGATCAAAGTAAATAATTTAAATTGGATGGTGGGTCTTGAATCTCAAACAGATATATGATTCCATATTAAGTAGAAAGCCGAAAGAGGAAAATCCTAACGGGAAGATGAACGAGGAAGAATAATAATGCATACCAAATGGAAAATTGATTATGTAATTCACATAACTACTACCACTGTCCCATAATATTTGTCAAGTTACAAACTTTGATCGTCAACTAAATAAAAGTTACAATGCATAATGATACAATAACACAATACTTTGAAATCAGACGAATATGATGAGATCATTTTTGTATTGGAATGTGATGCCATATTAGTTTAGTTTTAGTTGAAATCAGACAAATATGATGAGATCATTTTTGATGATGCCATATTAGTTTAGTTTTGGGTAGGGAAAATAGTGTTAGATATCCAAAGAATAGCCCAATTGAGAACCTGCAACCTAAACCCTCCTTCATAGTGAAAAAAAAGAAGAATTTGAGGCTTTACAAAAAATTGAAGCCAAACAAGCCATGGATGAATGTATATATCAAAACAAACTAATAAGCCAATAAAAATGTCATAGCTTTAACTTTCTGAAAAAGGTTTTCCAACTTTCTATCTTAGATTTAATGTTTTCAAATTAACAAAATTCATCTCACAAATGTTGTTCCCAAAGCAACTTAATACTGTATTTGACTCAAAATAAGACTCCATATTATTATTAAGTAATATTCACATTGTCGACATGGGTAGACACAAAATTTTTAGTGCATGGTGTCCCATTCTTAGTGATATTTTTATAAACAATTTTGTAATGTTACTAGTCTTTCGGTGAAAAGTTTTACTATACTAATTACAGAACCTAATTATATCTTTTTTCCTACTTATTCTCTAACCATATAAATTTTGATGTAGTTTTTAAATATACAGTTCTAAATTTGACACCAATAGTTAAACAATTTGCGTTGAAAAGAACTTTAGTCAAACATTGTCGTCCGAAACAAGAAGATTAAATCTGGACACGTGGAGTACTTAAGAACCCACACATATCATTTTAGTCTTGGAATGTATTAAAACCAAATGAAACAATGAGTTCAATATAAAGAATGTGGCCAGGGCCGGTCCTAAGACTTCAACGGCCTGGGCCGAGACAGGAAAAAAAGCTTTAGAAGTCTTATCCCTAATTCCCTATTGGTCTAAACAATTAAAATATGTAAACTAATTATATTTAAATGACAATTAACCCAATAGTATTATAAGAAAATAAGTAAATGACAAAATCATAGTAATATAATTACATAATGTAAAAGCTAGCCGAGAATTCGTAAACTTCTCCTTGAATTTTTAGAGCAAATTGATTGATCACATCTTAGTGAAATCAAATACATAAATACAAACTTTAAATTTCTGAAAGAAAACAGATTTTCAGATTATTAAATTAATAGATTTTCAGATTTTCACAACAAATTCATAACAATTAGCAAAAATTTCAAATAAAGATTTTCAATTTTTCACATGACAAATTCATATAATAAATTTTCAAATTCACAATAAAAATTCATAACAAATTCATAACAAAAATTTATAAAGATTAAATATTTTCAGATTTTCACATAACAAATTGTAAAATTCTTAAAGAAATTCTGAAATTGGTATTTTTTTACCTCCGTACCTGGACTCCTGGACCTGGAGTCTGGAGAGTTTCCGGCGAGGCGGCGTCTGGCGGTCGGCGGCGACTATCTCTCGGCGACTTCCTTCGGGGGTCTTTTTCAATTTCCGTCCGTGCCTTCGTGGGTTTGGGCGTTTGACTACTTCCGCTTTATTCTGTGGAACGGAAATAGGAGGGCTAGCTGGGCTGGGCTTCACTATTATTTAAAAAGATAGGCCCCTTAAATTTGTTGGGCCTGGCCCGGTGTCCCCCTAATGGGCCGGCCCTGAATGTGGCTACTAAATACTAGCACATTTCAAAAGCCTAAACATTCACTACTAAAGTACTCATGATTTAACTCACACTTTTTATTTTACAACAAAACACACTTATTTTACATTTGTGAAAAAAAAAGATCCCTTTACACTTTAAAAATAGTTCACAATAGATTAATCAAAGAAATTGAAAGATTTAGTTTAAGGGTCTCTTTGGTTCACGAAATTGACAGAATTATAATTGAATTAAGAGTTGAAATTTTAGAGAATTAATTTGGATGAAATTGAATTCTTTTACTCCAATTCATTTTTGTCACTACCAATTCCAAATCTACATATTTTTATGCTACCAAACAGCCTAATTAGAATTATTATCCCTAATTCCAATTTCATAATTTGAATTTTGTGTGTTAAACGCAACCTAAGTACTCTGCAGCCATTCACTCCAGAATTCGAGATAAATTTTACTCTGAAGCCAAAATAATCTTTAATTTGGTCTGCTAACACACTCAAAATTTAAAAAAAAATCTCTCGAACTAATAGTCAAAATGAATTTTTGTATCAGAGCTGGAAAAAAAGATAGAGAATCTTGACTATGATAAATAATTGATAAAGAATTCAAAAATCCACAACTCACGAATTCACATATCACGAAATCATATCTGTTACTTCTCTAAAACTTTTTTTTTTCAAAATAAAGAGTTGTTAGTTGTTACCTTGATAAAGAAAAACAAAGGAAGAAATACATTGAGGTAGAGGAATGTACCTCAAAACAAATACATTGAGGTAGAGGAATGTTACCTTTCAGTTTTGGCAGAAATCGATAAATCACTTTATTCATAAATTAAAATAAAATCAGGGAATCAAAACAAATTGAAAAGGTTTGAACATGGATCAAAACAAATAAAATCACTTTTGCTTCTCCACCACTATTGAAAATAAAATTTATAAATTTTACAGTGATCAAAATAAATATTTAAATTAAGAGAGGACTATTTACAAAAATAAAGATCTCACATGGATGATTTAATTAAAAAAATATTTTGGAAGAGTAAAAAACATAATTCACTTATTTTACAAGGATAAAAAACATAATTAATCATTAAAAGAATGTTAAATACTTTATATGTTTTAGTAAACAAATTTTGTTTTAAATCCATGGAAAATAGGTTATTTAAAAGAAGTTCTACAAAACAAATGTTTATATGACTATTTTATAAAATAAAGGAAGTATTTTGGGACAAAGGAATATCATTTAGTCTCAAGGATTTCATGATTACTAAATTAAATTTTATTAACTCTAAAATTTATATTTTATTTTTGCGAAAGTCATTATTTTTCAAAATTGAATCTCACTCTAGTCTCCATAACACCCAATCCATCTCAAAATACTCCTTTTAATTTATAAAATAGTCATGCCACTATTTTTGTAGAGCTTCTCGTATAATCTCTTAGTCTTACTTTCTTTGAGCAGTTCGATTTTGGCACAACTACCAAGATAAGAGGGAAAAGTGAGAAATGTCTAAAATACAAATTTCTTGCAAACACTCTCTATTGACCGCATGGATACATGACTGAGTTAAGAACTAAACTAAGGGGGGTGTATTCAATTGAGATTTTATTGGATTTTTTTAGATTTTAAAAAGTTAATGGATTTGAAAAAGTTGTAGAATTCATGTAGAGTTTGGTTGATTTTTTGTAATATCCATGCAGAGTTTGAAAATTTTATAGAGTTCATGTAGAGTTTGTAAAATATGTGTGTAGAATTTTTGCAAAAATAACTTCAAGGACATAATGAGTAGACAGAGGTGGACAGATCACCTTCTTATCACCTTCTCCGCACAAATCACAAAGTTTATAAACAAAAAAATAGCAGAGAACGGAGGACAGAAAACGAACGAACAGAGCAGCGGATCGGGCCAAGGACGTCATCCGGACAGAGGTAGACAGATCAGCGGCCAATGATCGGAGCAACGATCGGATAGACGAGTCACAATCATACTCGCTATCGGAAGATGAACAGTCAGATGATCTTGATCCAGGTCCGGGAGACTAGCCAGACGAACAGTGGAAGTAAAAACTATGTGTATGTGCGAAAATGGAAGTCCATAAAAATCTGGGGCGTGAGAAGAGATTTTGTAGGAGTGAAATGTAGGCATGTTTTGAGAGAAAATCCAATAAAATTCATAGAGTTTTAAAACTCATAGATTTTTGAATATCTCAAAATTTTTAAAGACTTTTGAAAATCTAAATTGAATACTTCAATATTTTTAAAGACTTTGAAAAATCCTTATTGAGTACCTCAAGATTTTTAAAGATTTTTAAAAATCACATTGAATACATTCAGATTTTAAAAATCTAAAAGAATCCAACAGACTCCCAAATCAATACACCCCCTAATAGTGAGTTAAGAGCTAAACTAATATTTGTGAGGAAGAGAAAAATGACTATTTAAATTTAATTAAATGGTAAAAGAGACAATTTAACACTTTCTTGTTATAAAAAAGGAAAATGTTAGAAAAAAGTGGAAAGAAGGAAAATTGACAAAAAGTGTGGGACGACTCAAAAAAAGTAGACAAAAATAGTGGGAGTGAGGGAGTACATTTTTAATGTATATTTTTTAAAAATTTACATCAACTTGAAAAATACTCTGTATCTATTATGAGTATTATTTTGGAGTTTACTTAAGCTTTTTTTGGGAGCAAGAGTTTTTTATTTGCCTTAGTGTTTTGGATACTTATAAAATTTTCATGATATAAATTAATTTTTAAAAAAAATTAACACCTTTTCAGAACGCTAACAGTATTCTCCAACGCTAGTACCAAACATTATCTATAGTACTAATGTTAGAGTTTATTAATGTAGGTCATTAAAATTTTAAATTTACTTCGGGTCGGGTTGCTTTAACTCTTAGCCGGAAACCGTCCGGCGGTGGAAACAGAGCAAAATTGTTCGCCAGATGGGAACGGCAAAGCTCCGAGCACCCGCAGGTTTTTCACTTTCCATTCCGCAGTCTCCGGAGGTCGGAAAATGCCTGAATTTGATGCGGCTAACTCGACAAAGCACTCGGGTCAAGCAAGCGGTGACAATTGATGAAATTCCCCCAAATTCCTTGATGCGAGCCAGAGACCCGTGTTGGAGCAGCACTGGCTTCAGTCTTGGGGTCGACTTGGGATCGAGTCGCACTGGTCTCGCTATTAGCAAAGGCTTCTCCTTCCGGCCATTAATGGTAACTTCTTTGTGTGAATTCCTTCGAATTCATATGTATTGATCCAATTATCGGTTGTGTTAGGTTTTGGGACTGAGAGGCCAGAAGCTAGAAGATCAACTCATTGATATTGCTCAGAAGCAGGTAATCTGCGCTTATCAAACTCACTATGGAGCGGCTATGGTTTGAACTTTAAATTTTTAATGAGTTCTGAAAATCACTAGATATCATGTGCTAATCATTTCCAAAAAAGGTGGAACGCCCACCCCGGGCGCCCCCACACCTGGCCCGACAAGATTGTGAGTGCTAATCATTTCTAATACCTTGTTATGGTAGAAATATAGGGAGTTTGATTTCAAAAATTTATGTGGAAACGGGAATCACATACCTCATTTCGCTAGAATACAACCCAAATAGACACAAAGTAGTGATTGTGATTCTAAAAATGCAAAATCACCCACGACTTCCAAGTTCCAACCGATTGCTCCCCATGTTTATATAATACTCCATCCATCGCATAAGCAACCCCAACTCATTCCTTTCGTAACCTCATCGTCCCACAACGAAAGTGCACTTTTTTTCCCACGAAGGCATGAATTATGATATGATAATCAAGTTAGTTGGAAAGACTATGTTTGTACTCCGTATGCAACTCTCATTTTTACTCAGTGTGAAGTTAACTATATCCCATATAGTAGTATTTAGTTTTTTATTTGGGTGATTAAGTAGTGGTAAACAAGGATATGAAAAATCAAATGCACTACAAATGAAAAGGTTAAACTATCTCTGTGAGGTGGGGAAAAATGGAATAATGGATTATCGTTGTCAATGATAAGTCTTTGTGGCACATACAGACCCTATTTTTACATCTCTTTCCATTGGTCCTACTCCTTTTAAACAAATGTGTTTAAATCTACTATGAACTTTATTACGGAGCAAGGAGATTGTATAGATAAACTGTGTGTGTGTTATAATTTAGTTATTGAAGCTTGAATCTTTGGCATTATGGAAAGCAATAGTAGGATGATTCTTTGAAATTTAATGGACAAGCTTTATTCCCCCCTCCCCCCCAAAGGTTGATTTATATGGACTGTATTTGTAAATTAGGAGGTTGATGAGTTTATAGTTGGGCTTCCCTTATCCAGTGATAGGAAGGAGACTCCACAATCAAACAAAGTTCGAAGTGTTGTTGGTAGACTAGCAGTGCGAGCTGCTGAGAGGTAATAATCTGGATTTAAGATGGGTAGCTTCTTACAGTGTATTTATAGCGTAGTCTCCATTTGGCGAATATATATTTGCTGTATTTGTTGAAGTGGTGGATTGATCTGCTAAATTATCTAAAAAGAATTATTTACAAATATATGTATTAAATAGCAGTTAATTAATGAAGTAGCACTTAGTCAAGCAATGCAACTTTCGACGTTGAGCCGAGGGTCTCTTTGGAAACAGCCTCTCTACTTTTGAGTAGGGGTAAGGTCTGCGTACACACACCCTCCCCAGACCCTACTTTTGTAGGATTCAACTGGGTTGTTGTTGTTGTATATGTATTAAATAAGTATAAAAGCAGTATCAAATATCAATAAATGAAGATCGAAGTGTCATTTTCATTAATTTTAGTCATTCCAGCAAAAAAATTAAGTACCTTATGAACTACATTTTTAGTTACTAACCGATTAACAAGCACATCAAATTAAGTTAGAGTTTTGTGATAATCCAGGCATCTTGCTGATTAGCCAACTGAGGGGGCTGCCAAAGCGGTTTACATTTTCATTCCTCGATACTCCATTTTAGTTACGGTCTTATCTTTATGTCCATTGCCAATGGAGCTAAAAAGGTCATTATTAACAATGTTTTCGTTTCGGGCACACAATGAACTCAATCAAAATGACACATTCCTTTGCTTTTACTTTCTATGAAGTTTTTGGCAGTAAATGTTGTTTACTACTCCATTTTAAAGCATATTTATATATACTACTTCCTCCGCCCAACAATAATATTCCCGTTCATTATTCACATGGTCAAACTTTATTCACTTTGTTGGCGTATTTTCGTTGTCCATTTGATAAAATAATGTAGTCATGTCACATCTAGTTTTGTAGATCTTTTTGTGTAGTTTTTAAATATATAATTTTTATTTTTAAATTTCACACGATTTTTCATATAAAATGATTTGAAAATAACTTCAGTCAAACATCGTAACGCGCAACGGGAACATAATTCTTGGACGGAGGGAGTAAAATTTAATACTCGGGTAACATTCAGTGCTGATGTGTTAAGACTCATGCAGAAGCCACTTTGAGGGATGTCGCTAGTTATGAATTTATTCTCTTGCTATATCATCATTTTTTTTACCCTATAATTAACTCAATTCTGAACTAGGGGATGGAGAGTATATCTGCAGGATGAGTATGGGACATCAAGTGAGGCTATGGACCACATGATTACTATGTATGTGCTCTTTTGATGTATTATGACAACGTTGTATTCATAAATTTTAGTGGTCCTTAATCTTACTCCTTTTTTGTCCCCAAAGCGGAGTTGGGTATAACTGTATTTGTGACTAACTTGTAAAAGATTGTTCCTTGATTCAGTCGACTTAAAAATACTCCGTACAAAGTTGCACCTTACTCAATCGATTTTCTATCAATGATAAGGATAAGAGAAATCTGATTAATATGAATAGGTGGATTCTAGGAACAAAACAGAAATATGATCATAACATTTAAAAATCTAGTCGCATTTTATTTTCAGGGGCCTCGGCAGATCGACTCGTCAAGAGAAATGTGATGCCTATGCAGCCGTGGTACACTTCTAGTTCTATTTCTATATGTTGGTGCGAGTTTTGCCATACAGAGACAATATGATTAGCCCATGCTATTATGTTTTCATTTTCCTTTAATGGGCGAGATGAATAATTTTTTGTAGTTAGGTAAGTTAGCAAGTTGTTCGATCTTTATCTGTTCTTTCTGGTGAAACTGCTGCAGATGTTGCTTGAGAGATACTTCTCAATGTCCGGTGATGGAGTAGAACTTGTTGTACCCAAGCAACCTGAACTCCAAATCAAGCTGAGAAAAGCCTCTTCCATTGGCACTGATGTTTTTCTGGATTGATTTCTCAATTGATGGAAACTTCAGCCTTCAGGATTATAATGTGTATATTTGAGCAAGGGGACAAACAGGTAACTTGTAACACTCTCTTCGTGTTCTGTTTTTTTCCAGTTGAACAGTACTCCTACGATTTTGAGGACTGTTTTATTTTTTGTCTCAAATGTTTCTCTATGTATTGTGTTACTTTTATTTATTTATTTATTTATTTATTTATGTATTATTAAAACTAGACCTTTAACTATCCAGGCCTTACTTTGCCTGCATTGGAGCAGCTATCAGCTACTTGAGTGTGCTCAAGTTCATGGAGGTAGAGTTCACTTGGATTTTCATGTTAGTTTTCTTGTACATTTTCACTCTTGTTTTTTTGCCACCAAGAATAATACAACATTCCAAATATTGAGAGCTATGTTAGTTGAGTATGTTGTCAATTGAAATTCTATTGTGTGTTGCTCTATTGCTGAATATTCATTTGTCTTATATTAAAAATTCGGTTGCGTTTGAATTTTGGGTTGTTTTTTTCGCTCCAAAATGCTGGTTAGAGATAGCGGTGACCAAGAAATTAGTAAGCATTGTGTGCGGCCAATGCCACCAAAGTATGTGTTACTATGGACAAAAGCCCCAAAAAGTACCCCTCACCTACACTATTTTCCAAGTATTCTAACTAGGCATTATAGAGAAATTGAACAATCAAATGTACATAATGTATAATAACAAAATATTTTGGCCGTGGTTCATGATGTCTTATAGTTATGCATAAAAAAGCCTCATTTGTCCATCTCACTACCAACCGTTTTAAGATGTGCACCAAATGATCTTGTTTGCTCGATATGTAATAAAAAAAAAGATTATTGCGGAGTATTGTGTTTCGACTTTTGATAGTTATTTTTAGTCTCAATTGTCCCAACTTATCTTGCATTTCTTTGCGTCCAATCCTATTAATCTTGCTCTTTTTTGTAGGAAACATCATGCCCAACTAATTACATACGTAGTATTTAATACGGAGTCGTTTTAGTACTCTATGATTTTTCTCTCGTATAGACAAATATAAACCACACCATTTTTATTTTCCTAATCTGCAACGTTAAAATTTTATCCAAGATGCTAACGCTAATCGAAAACGCTATTCCCAAATGAGCCCTAAATTTTCCAACCAAAGTGAGTTTGTTACTTAGTTTATTTGGGTTGATTTGAAGTGTAAAGAAAAAAAAGTCATTTTGGGACGATTGACCTGAGGATTGCAAGATGTGCACCCACACAATTTCTCTAATCTTGTAGGGTCTAATGTTTTCTAGAAATTCAATGCTTTTACAAATTTAAAATTTTTAAAATTAATTTTTTTAAAAAATATATGAATATATGTTTATTTGTCTAAGTTTTTTTTAAAGAATTTTTTTGAATACGGAGTATATCATGAAAAATTATACTCCTTCCGTCCCAAATTATTTGTCACATTTGCTTTTTCAACCGTCGCGAAAACTTTTGTTTATTTCTATTTTTTCATTGGTTATTTGATAAAATAAAATATTCTTGACACCTCTTATTTCGAAAAACTTTTCATGTAATTTTTTGATATGTAATTTTTATTTTTTATTTTTTTACTAATATGTAAATAAAATGAATTGAAAAAACTTGATATTTTGCCTCGGGAATACAAATGTGGCAAATAATTTAGGACGGAGGGAGTATGTTGTACTGATTTGAAATCAAAACCATTCCACATAATAAAACAAAACACAGTGTAGAACCTAACACCACACAATCTAAAGATCTCTTCTATGAGCTCCCGTAAATCTGTTTGTTGTTTTAAAAAATACTCTGTAGAAAACAGAAAATGACACTGAAGACGGCCTTTAAATTTTGGCACAAATCAAAACAAAATGTTACTCCATAACGTTTTACATAAATTAGCTCCAAAACACTCCCTTTAAGTTAGTCATTAGAACACATCTCCTTCACAAACAAAATAGTATGGATTAGAGCAAAACAAACACCAGTCGCCAATTCTTTTCTTACAACAGAGAACAACAACTAGTTTGACATTCATCCCCGACGCGCATAAAAAAAGACTACGCAAAAGTTTAAGTGATTAACCGCCGCGCATATGCGCACCCAACTCTCCGAATTGGTCATCTGCTTCCACGGTATCCTCAGATAAGCGGACTGCATCCAACTTCTGCTTCAAAACCTCAATTGCATTGAGCACCAACTGAGAAGCTTTGATTGCACCAGTGGATTCGACTGTGAATATGAAGCTGTCTTCCTTGGCATTGATTTCTATGAGCCCGTGTTTCTCCATGGAAGCTATTTTCTTGAGCACCTCGTCATCATATGTATATGCCTCCGCATCAACCACAACAATCTGCGAGTTGAATCTTGAAATTAAAGCTCGGGGAGCATTTGTATTTCCTGCTTTCAAGGATTATGCCTTTTTCTTGGGTAATAAACAAGTTCTGTTTTTTTTTTGTTTTGGGGTTTCTAAAAGAAGCATGTTTGGTGGGTCTGTTCTGATTTGGATGTATGGTTTAAATGAGGGATGCTCTCATCACGCGCCTGTCACGCACATATGATATCATCGCCTGGATCAATTGACTTTGTTGACTAGATCAAGATCCGGAGGCTCAAATCATCCGTGATCCGTGCATGACAAAATTGGTGGGGCGTGCCTGATGAGGGCATTACTCTGATTTACATTATTTATTATGAAGATACTGTTTTTATAGAACTTCTAATTATTTAAATAAACAGTTTCAGTATTAGAAACACCTTATTGGAAAAAAATGTAATAAAGAAACTTTCATTTGCAGTAATTTTCAAAATTCAGTTTCTTATGTTTACAAAAACCATAAACAGAACTATTCATCATCATCATTATCAGCATCTTAATCCCAACAAGTTGGGGCGGGTGGCATTAAGTTTTAAACATACTACTCCTATACTCATCCAGATAGCATGGCTCACTAAAGAGTAAGATAAAATGCAGCAGTTGTAACAAGAACAAAAGTTTTTTAAGAAAAGAAGTAGCACACCTGTTGGGTGACGGGGTCAATGTCAAACACTTTGGTGGGGCTGCTTTCCACAATACTTCTTTTCTCCTCTAGTGTCAAAGTGTCCATCATGTCTTCATTGATATAGATATCGGGCTCATACATAAATGTAACAGTTGCGGCAGGTGACCACTTTGCATGATCCTTGCCAATTCCTTTTCGTGCAATTGCTCTGAGCCTTAGCTCTTGTCCACGGCGTAGCTTAACAATAATAATCCCCCTACAAGAAATGGAGTTTTAATAACACACAGGAGATTTCTATAGAGCTGGTGATTACTTCATCATGGTATATTGCATACAACGAAGTATAAACATATGAAAGCAAATAAGAAACGAATACGCATGCCAAGCTGGTCAGTACTACGAGTTCTAATTTATCCATGGGCAATAGCATCAGCTATGGTATTTAACACCTAGCATTTATGTTTGAATCGATATTTTTCCTTATCAACAGATTCCTCACGGTTTGGAGTAACGCCTTGGATATGCATTTTATAAAGCTGGCAAGAGGTTAGAATATGATCTGGAAATATCTAGATAAGTGCTAAAAGTTGAATAAACCTTTTCCAGTACATAACTTGGTCTCTTATCTCGATGTTACAACTCCTGTGAACGTCAATCACTTGTTTCAAAACCACATCCTTTTAAACTTCCATCTCAATTCCACTTGTTTTGGTACAAAATTAAGATACTCCCAAGCATGAATATGCATCTTGTGAACTAGAAGCAAGAGAGCATCTCCCTCCTACATTAACAATATTCTTGTCATCTTCAAATCAACAAAACTCTAGCCCCATTAGTTGCACTGAATCTTCTGATCATAAAATTTTGTTTTTAATGGCAGCTTAGGATACCATTGAGACCGCATGTATGAAACCGATTTCAACTTTCAAGACTGTTTGACCTCCCTAACAGCTTGCTTCTGCACTTGAATTTTATCAACAAAAAAGGGGTTCTTTTCTACTATTTGTGTTTGAATCCATCAAATTTGAACAGATAATATTTTTGTCTATCCCAGACCTAATGCAATTGCGTGCTTGCACAAATGCAAAATCACAGCATACCACCAGAGATTGACACATTGAAGCTAGAAAGTAAATAGAACATTTATGAACGCACTAATTCCTAAGAGAGAGATAGAAGAAGAAGAAGGTTTTACTTGGATTCGGAATTCCCAGATGCGGAATCAGAGTAATCAACGGGGACGACAGTGTGGTCGGAGCTCAGGAGGTCCTTACTGGTAACATCTAGGGTTTGGTCAGCGAGGCACTTGACGCGGAGGTAGAACTCGACGGAGCAATACTCGCACTGGCCGTCTCCGTCGCAGGCGTCGCAATCGCGGGAGAAGCGCATGCTCATGGCCCGCTCGCTGGTGAGGGGAATGAGGCCAAGGCGGTGGGCGAGGAACTCGTCGTTGAGGACGGTGGAGTTGCACTCGATCTCGACGAGGTCGATGGCGATGGTGGGAACCTCGGCGATCATCACGCGCCGGAGCGCGTTGGCGATGCTCGCGTCGGTCTCCCGGAGCTCGAACTTCATGTAGTCATCCTTCACTTCCCGGATTTTGATCTTCGGGAATCTCTGGTACGATACTCCCTCCATTGTCGTCTTCTTCCTTTCTCCCGGCCGTCTCAGAGCTTAAACCCTCTTCCCCGACCCGGAGATCATATGATATAGTGTACAATTTGCACAAGAGGATACGATTTTCGTGCTAATTCTGAATTAACCCCTAGATTGTGTGATCTTTACATCTCCATCCCTAATTTTTTTCTATATTGTAGCACTTCCTCCCCACACTTTCACAAAAATTGAACGGAGGTGATAGAAAGAAAATCCAGAAAATTACTCACGGGTGACGTGAGTTTTGTCGAAATAACTCTCAGGTCCTTTTATTTTTAAGAAGACAACGGATGTCCTTACATTTTGTTGTAATGACTGCCAGGGGACATTCCATCCAATATTTCAACCATAAACGTTAATAAATGTATTTCTTCCTAGTTTTTTCCTTAATGTTTTATGGTAATAACTCTTAGGTCGCTCCTTTTTTTTATTTCTTTGTTTTTCTTTTTTTGTTACTGTTTTTAAAGTGTTTTTTAAAAATTTCTTCTATAAAATCGTATAAAAATTCAAAATTATTTGTATGATATAAAAATAAATGAAATAAAAAATTTTCTAAAAAAGAAAAAACTGAGTAATGGCAAAATAGGAAAAAATGGTATTGGCAAAATAGGAAAAAATGTATTTATTAACTCTTATGGATGAAGTATAGAATGAAATGTCACCTCTCAGTCATTACAACAAAATGTAAGGGCCTCTGTCGTCTTATTGAAAATAGAGGGACCTAAGAGTTATTTCGACAAAATTCACGTCACCCATGAGTAATTTTCTGAAGAAAATCTATCATATAGACCTCCTCAAATAATTTATTTAAAAAATAAAATAAAAAAAGTTTATTTTATTAGTAACAATATATATTTGACTTATGTAAATATTTTTCATAAATATTAAGTTTATAGAAAATTTCACAATTTAAAAATTCGCAATCAATATTAATAAAATTAACGTGTCTTTGCATGGGATTCTTTTGACATCCCACTTCAGCGTCAAATTTAGGGAAACCACTTTAGCGTCATTTTAAATAAGTTTAGTGTACTCCAAATTTTGTACAACTTGCATACTAGTGTATCACACATAAACACAAATAAACATTGTCAATGTACGCACAAATTATGGTTTTCTGTGTGAATATGTGAAACACTGGTGTGCAATATTTTTTTTATTCGAGGAGAAAAGATTACCATGTGGAAGTTGGGGTACAAAAATTTGGGATAGTCCCAGCACACCTCAAAAAGTTTACCATGTGAAAAATAATGTTGGCAAATCTCAAGATATTTGATCATCTGCTGTGACTGACTAATTGTAACTACATGATGTAGCTGAGATACTTTTATTGAATGAGAGATTAAAAAAAAAAAGATGGTTTGGTTTACAAATAGTTCACAAAATAAAAACAAACTTCAATAAATTGCATACATTCCAAGTGTATTTGAATCTAACAATTCTGGTCACAAAGAATCCTTATTCAGAGTACAAAAGCATCACCGCCAGTTCATCCAAATGCCAGAAGAGGGTGCAAGAAAAATCATATCTTTGATTGCTTGGCAATCTTGAACCACTCCGTATGGAACGAACCCGGCATGTCGGTCCTCTCGTACGTGTGGGCCCCGAAGTAATCCCGCTGAGCCTGCACCAGATTGGCGGGAAGCCTTTCCCGCCGGTATGTGTCAAAGTAAGCCAAACTTGAGGACATGCCCGGGATGCTAATCCCGGAGCTGACAGCGAGGCAAACGACTCTTCGCCACGCGGGCTGCCGCTCGATTATCTCCTTGGCGAACTCCTCGTCCACTAGAAGGTTCCGGAGATCCGGGTTCCGGTCGTAGGCTTTCTTGATCCGGTCAAGAAACACCGCCCGGATAATGCACCCGCCCTTCCAGATCCTCGCCAGCTCGCCCAGCTTCAGATCCCACCCTTTCTCGATGCTCTTCGCGCGGATCAGATTCATCCCTTGGGCATAGCTGCATATCTTGGATGCATAGAGCGCCTTGCGCACGTCGTCGATCAGCTGCTTCTTGTCCACAACAACCTGGTCGGCGATGACATCAGCGATGCCGCCGGATCTGAATATCTTGGCGGCCTCGACCCGCTCGTCCTTCAGCCCGCTGAGGAACCGCGAGTCCAAGGAAGAAGCGATGGTCGGGGCGGCAACCGACAGCTCGGCGGCTTGCTGAACCGTCCACTTCCCGGTACCCTTCATGCCCGTTTTGTCCAAAACCTTATCCACCAAATACCCATCCGCCTTGTCGTCCTTGATTCCGAATATATCAGCAGTTATTTCGACCAAGAAGCTCAGCAGCTCCCCTTTGTTCCAATCTGAGAAAACTTCATGCAGTTCGGCATTAGAAAGCTTTCCCACGGATCTCAAAACGTCGTAAGCTTCTGCAATCAATTGCATGTCGCCGTATTCAATCCCATTGTGAACCATCTTAACAAAGTTTCCAGAACCGCCCTTGCCGATGTAAGTCACACAAGGGCCACTGTCTGGAACTTGGGCTGCCACTTTGAGTAAGATGTCTTCAATGTGTTTGTAGGCTTCAAAGGAGCCGCCGGGCATTAGCGATGGGCCTTGCCGGGCCCCTTCTTTGCCGCCGGAAACACCCATTCCAAGATAAAGCAAGCCCAGTTCTTCTGCTTCCTTGGATCTCCTCTCTGTGTTCTCGTACCACTCATTGCCACCATCAATGATGCAGTCTCCTTTCTCCAGATAGGTTGAAAGGGTTTTGATGGTTTGGTCAACTGGCGAACCGGCCTTGACGAGGATGATGATGACACGAGGCTTTTGGATGGATTTAACAAAGGATTCGGGATCGTGGAAACCATAGAGAGGAAGATCGCCTTCTGCTTTGGCACGTTCCACGGTCTCATCAACTTTGGAGGTTGATCTGTTGTAGACAGAGATAGGGAACCCTTTCTCGGCTATGTTCAGCGCAAGGTTTTGCCCCATTACAGCTAGGCCAGCAAGTCCGATTCGTGTTGGGGTCACCGCCATGTTGCCTCACCTGCCATTTGGATCAAATGGGTTTTCAATTAAGAGGCCAAACAAAGTGTGGGGGGGGGGGGGAGAATAGGGTCCGGCTCTTATGACCCCAACATTGGGCGCCATAAAATGACACCAGCCATTTGGGGGCTCGACGGTGCTCCCTTGGGTCAACGGCCCTGTGGGGTAGGGTCGGTTTCCAAAGGGTGTAGGACTGGGTTTAGGGCCCAACAGAGACCCGTAGGGTTTAAATGGAAACCATGGTGTCAAAAAAAATCTTGAGAAAAAATGTTTTTTAAACCATTTAGATTTTTGTTGTTGTTGTTAGATTGAAGTATTATGTTATTCCTCTAAAAAAAATTATTTCAGTGTTACAAACAACTTTCAAAAAATTATTTCAATGTTTTATTATGACATACATTTTTATGTAATCGATTGTTAAAGTTCAACTAGTTTGATTCTTAAAAGTCAATCTGAACAAATACTATGCGATGGAAGATTGGAAGGACTATCTGATTAGAAAGAACATCTGTTTTAAAAAAAAGAAGAAAAATTTGTGATTAAAAGCGAGTAGGTTTTTTTCAGATCCAAACAAATCAATGAGCAAAACCTCAAGATCAAAAAAGACTCAATCCAAACAAATTCAACAGTGAGCAGAGATCTTTAAAAGGATCAAATTTACCCTAGGCAATCAAAGAACACGATCAGAGATGAAGAATCATCAGAACAAACAAAACAGGAAAACCTAAATTATCACCTTTAATGGCTTCCAGACAGGCCAAAACGAGCTCAGATCACAAAATCGAAGGAAAATTAACTGAACCCAGGATTTGGGTATGAACAATTAAGATCAAACTGCTCATAAATACTGGGAAACTGGGGAATTTTCTTCAGTATGAACATGAAAAAAAGAAGCCGCGTACAGAGAAATCGTACCTTGACTCACCTAATACGGAGTTGAAAATCTTCGGAGGAGAAGAAGGAAGAGAGCGCTTGGGGGGAAGCTTATTTCCTGCTCCTAAAAATGGAGATTTGTTGATCGGATCGTTCAAGGAAGAAGAGAAGTCAAAATGGGACAGCTTCTTGGCAGGCAACTTATTATTGTTGACAAAATTTGAGGACTCATATGGTTGCTGCAGCACTTTATTATTTGCACTTGATGTGCCCACCTACCTTACCTTTGGGAGTGTATTTGTATTTGTATTTTATTGGTAATTTGGTATACCATGATTCAAGAGTTTTTTGGGAGGGTTGGTAAAAATGGCTCTTTTTTATGGTATGTTTTCCCCCCATTTTATTAATTTTCTTTTATATTGATCTAATCTTCTTCTAAATTTATTATAATGGAGGCTCTCTAATCGCGAAAGAAAAAGAGTCCCGTTGCAATGAGCTGCCGCCCGCAATGGAGGCGAAAAGATAAATAAGAATTTTGGTGCAACGCGGCAGACCGTTGCAATGGACGACCGTCCGTCGAAAAGCGTCGTCTTTCAATACCGTCAGAGCGTCGCTGGAGCGTCCAAAAGCGCCGTGTATCAATATCGTCGGTCGTCTTGCGATGCAAGCCCGGTGCAGCGAAAAGAACTGCCTCTGTTGCAGATGCCCTAACTAATTCTAGTTAAAATAAATTTTTTCTCAATATTTGATTTTAATTTTTTCAGATAAATGACTTGATTGCAATAAAAATAATTGAATAAGTAATAAGAAGAATAAATTGAAGAGAAAATGCTCTTAATTCTTCATTCTTTAGTATTGTTAACTTTATTACGGAGTACAATATAATAACTTCTATGTCCCAAAATATTGTTCAAATTTTGGATTACGATATTTGACCAAAATTATTTTCAATTTTATTTATATAAAAAAATTGTCTAGAATTATTAAAAAAAGTTTATATGTTTAAAACTATTTCAAAAGTTCAAAAAACTAAATGGTGGTGACAAGTCTAGTTTATTTTATCCGATGATCAATAATATTAGGTAAATAAAGTGAATGCAATTTAATCATATGAGTAACACTCTCTTCGCCGCAATTTAAAGTACACATTCCGATTTATGATGTTATTATAATTATTTTCAATTAATTTTCTTTGAAAGTTGGTGTGGAATTTAAATATAAAATCTAAATATTTTTAAAACTCATTTAAAGTTCTGCTGTATAAGACAATGAATGACATAATTATATTATTTTTTTCAAATGAGTACCAGAAATGGAAAATGAAAGTTGTTAAAGTTTGATCATGTAAACACACATCATACAATTGCTCTCCCAAGTTTATTTAATTTTGGAGTCAAAATTTTGAATCTAAAGTCAAATAAACTTAAGGGTGCAATTGAAGGGGGTATGGTGTAATTCGAATCAGGTTAAGGGTTTAACGGGTTAAAGAGTAGAAACTATAAATTTTATGGACCTAGTAGCCCCGAGTCATAGAATGACATTCATAACCAAAATTTTGAGTTATACCGTTCGATTATAAAGTTTTGCATAAATAGCTCTCTAATAATTAGTGAATCAATATGGTACTTTTTCCGAATATTTAAATCTTCACTTTTTCTCATTCACTCTATTTCACACTAATACGAACCTTAATTTGAAATTGTTAAAATTAAACACTACAATTAAATATTGGCTAAAATCCACCATTGGTCCTTTAACTTTATGAGTTGTGCACGATTGGTACTTCAAGTTTCAAAAGTCTATAAATAGTCCTTCAACTTTATGAGTTATGCACGATTGGTCCTTCAAGTTTCAAAAGTTCATAAGTAGTTCTTCAAGTACACATCAGTCCTCCAGATGAGGTCCTTCTGACAGTAAACATTAAAAGCTAATTGGAATACTAGTTCCATATAATACGAGAAAATTCCACTATGTACGACTACTCCGTATTATAAGAAGCTAGTACTCCATTTAGCTTTTACTGTCAAAAGGACCTCATCTGAAGGGGTGATGTGTACTTGAAGGAATACTTATATACTTTTGAAACTTGAAGGACCAATCGTGCATAACTCATAAAGTTGAAGGGCTATTCATGGATTTTTGAAACTTGAAAGACCAATCGTGCACAACTGATAAAGTTGAAGGACCTATAGTGGAGTTTAGCCATTAAATATTCTTATCAAAAAACTAAAACTAAACGCTGAAATTATTGCCAAGCAAACACCGAATCAGTTTAAAAGTTTTTTTGAACTTTAAAAGAAAGAGTGTAAAGACAAGAAGTTTGAGTGAAGATAGTTTGCCAATGGTTCCCAAAGAAAAAGTTTGAATGATGGGATTTTTTTCAGGACAGGAAGTTTTATTCAAGAAATACAACAGCTAAGTAATCCTTTAACAGAGAGAACCGTGTTGCTTTCAAGAGAAGAGAGATGTCCTACATAACACACACATATAGCCACAACCTATGAGTACAAACAACAACATGTTACACATATTCATATCTCCACTCACCCTAGAGTTTGGTTCTTGATGATGATGATGATGATGATGCACACTCATCTTCCCATTATCTCCAGTATTTACAAGATGGAAATGGAGATATATGTGCTCATCCTCTTTATTATATACTCAGCTCAGGTTTCTCATTTTCACCGATTTTTGGTTGGTTTTCGCCACACTTCTCTAGCCTGCAAGATGGGTATGATACACCTGTGAAAAAACAGCAACGACTATACTCTGTAATAGTGTACGATTAAAGAACGGTTGCACTCGTCTTTGACAAAAGGGCATACAATAGAAGTTCAGAACAAACAACGGACCAAACAAATGAATCAATTGCATCGGGTAGTTCATAAACATGGCATGTACATTTAGAAACACAACAGTACCAGTTAGAAGTGTATTTGGTAAACACTATGTTTGGTTCAAGGAATATGGAGGGAAAAGAAAAGAAAATGATTTTCTTTCATTTTCCTCATCAAAATAGGAGGAATTTGGTCGTTTTCCTCTTCATAGTACATTTTTCCTTCTCATTTTCATTTCCTTCCATTTTTCCTTTCATTTGCTCTTTAACCAAACAAGAAAAATTGTTTTCCACTTCATTTTCTTTTCTTTCCCTTTCAAACTCCTTGAACCAAACATAGTGTAAGGGTTTCGGGAGGAAAGCCATACTACGCATGGTGTGGGATGAGCAGTTGTGGTTGGACGCAATCTTAACCCTCTTTGAGGAAGTAAAACTTCTTGGAGGTGCTATGTTAGGGTCCTCTTTTGGTGCAATTGATGAATTAGTTTTTTCCCACTCCCCCGACCCCCGCCGTACATGCCATTGTTTGTCGGGACCTTCAAGGAAAAAAACTATACTCCTTAGATAGAGTTGAGGTCACCGACTCTCCGTACACTTTATGCTCAAGTCACCAAGACTATACTTTGAGTGGGAGATACTGAATCTGTTTGTTTGGTCATGCTGTATAGGTGAGAAACTCATTGCTAAGTAAACTCATTACTCCCATACTCCCAAAAAGACTTCCCCGTTGCGGGTTACAATGATTGAATAAGATTATTTTCAGTTCAATTTTTATGAAAATTGGTCCAAATTGGAGTATTTACATTCATTTCACATGAGGGTATGGTGAATTCCAGAACCACTACAACATGTTTTTCATACAAAACATTAATTAAAAGAAAACAATGTATCAAAAACAATGAAAACAGATCAATTCCATGAGCATGTAAACAATCAACCAGAGAGAAAATTCCCAGTCAAACTGCAGGAACAAGGGGAAATACTCTCAAAAACTCAACAGTATACAGAGAGAGCCGAATCAAAGTCATTAACTTGAAACAATTTTTCCAGAAATTTGCAGAAAGAAATCGAAATTGCATATGCCAATTCCCAATAAACCATACGAATCGCACGAATCAACCATAAAACCAGATCACTACAGAGGAAGAGGAGAAGGAGAGCGATACCTAGATAAGATCCATATTTAGGCGAATCAGGAAAACTCCTTCACGTTCTGGAAGAAAGCGGCGGAGCAGAGAATCGAAGCGAGGAAGGAGAAGATTCCCAGGCCAATAATGAGGGAGAATCCGGCAACAATGAAGTCCATCAAGCATTGAAAGCTTATTAATCCCATCAACATCTTCGACGTTGATCTTTCCCGTCTCAAATCAGCGATTGGAAGCTCAATCCGAAAACTAGTGTTTCCCCTTATCTTTCTCCGGTATTGTGTAATTATTACGGAGGAGGGAGTATCAGCTTTATTTAAACGGCGGTGGCGTTGGAGACGGGGAAGGAGAGCGTTGGCGGTGGACCGTGGACACAGAATGCCTCTTCTAATGGTAAGTCCAACCAAAACAGTTACTCCGTATTATTTTGGGTCGTCTTACAAATCCAACCGTCACTTTTTTCGCAAATAAATGAAAAGTGAGATTATTTTAGAAAAATTTACTTTTTATTTTTTATTTTAAATTTAAAATTAATATTTTTAAAAATATAACAATACACTCTTATTAGAGATTTGTCTAACGATTAACAAAATTTGTTTTCTGTTTTGAGAAAATATAATATTGAATTATAAAAAATAATTCAGAGTATCGATCAAGAAAGAAATTACGATACAAAAAATTTGTAGTGATTTATACTCCGTAAAACTTATGGGTTCCATTTCGGAGAAAAAAATATTGTGTCATTTTCACAACTTTTGAATTACTATTTTGAGAAAAAATAAAAAATCACAAATTGGGTAGTTCCATTTTAGAAAGAAAATTTTATTGGCAATATAAGATTATCAATAAATATTTCAAAGTGTTCATGAAAAAATTACAATATATCATAAAATGTTGTGAGTTGAATTATAAAAATAAAAGTTCTATTTTAGAGAAAAAATTGTTGTATTATTTTCACAACTATTGTAATGTTGTTTCACAAAAATATTTATATAGAACTATCGAAAAATATTCATAAGTTTTGTAGTGCCATTTTTTTAAGAAATAATAATAATATAGTATCAAAAAATAATTTGAAGTGCAGCTCAATAAAAATAAAGTAAATGCAACTTATAGAAAATGTATGTAGTTAGTTATGAAGTTAATAAATTAGCTCTATTGTGTAGAATAATTTATTGTCTAATTATTACCAGATTATTGATTATTGAAAAAACAATTAGTTTCACTCTAAAAATACTTAAATTTGGTATTTTTTTTTCCAAAAAAATAAAATAAAAATACATTTAAATTTAAGGCTGTTTAATTTCAAATCTTTTATCGACATGCGACTTTTAGTGTATTCAACATACTTTTGCAAAACCTTTATAATAAATAGGTTTTGAGAAACGGGAAAGGATTGGGATATACTAGAAAATTTAAAAAAAAATTAGAAGTTGGAAAAAATCAAGGAATTTTAAAAAATAAGTTATACGTACTCCATTCATTTCTAATATTTTCTCTTCTTATTTGTTTCCATGTCACACTTTTTTTACTACTCCGTATTAGTGTTTTTTATTTTCTTTATTATGTCACATTGTTTTTGTTTCAAACAACATTCAGTAATATTTTTGTGACTCACAAGTCAAGATCACTTTTTCGGACATCTTTGCTTTATAAATAAATATCACTATTAAAGTATTAAGCTGTCCGTAGTTCTTTCCCCCCTCATGCGAACACCGCCCCTCTCCCCGGCCTCATGGCCAGGACACGTGAGAGCACCCGTGGTCACGACCACGGTGCTCCACTGTATATGCTCGTCCGACCATTATATTTTTTTCTTACTTTATATGCAACAGTCACGTTCACATGAAAAAATTAAAAAAAATCCACCAAATTTCAAATCTCTTAACTCCCTCTCTCTTCTATGTAAACAACCCAATTCCATCCAATTTCTACTCACACCATGAATCAAAATAATCCTAATTTTCCGTATTTTTACAACCCCAATAGTTATCCACATCTTCAATTCAAACGATTTGAATGCCGATAATATGTTCGATAATTGTTACCGTCTCACTTTTGACGGATTCCAGTATTGGACTCCATCCCCGAACTTCTTCTCGGGTGGCTCTCAAGATTTAGCGTTTCTGAACTTCATCCCAGAGACTCAACCTCATTACATGTCGGAGATGCAATCTCCGCATGACCAAGATACTTAACCCGAGGCGGAGTCCATGAAGAATAAAAATGTTCAAAGAAAAAAGGCTCCCCTTTAAAAAAAGGTGACCGACATGGCGTTTCTAGGTACAAAGTATGACGGTACATACGGATGAACGTGATCTTGCCTTGATCGAGATGATGAAAATCAAAATAATAAAAATATGCGGCCAAATGTGATAGTGATCAAGCCTATTTTTTTTATATATCCTATGTAGTACGTTTTTATCATGTTTTCCTTTCATGTACCGGAGTATTTTTTTCTTAATTTATGTAATGCATGCGTGTACTTTTCTTTTATTCAACATGACATTTTTTAATTTATAGTCTTTTTTGGTAAGTAATTTGTTATAATATAAAAAAGGGAAACAAACTATAAACAAAAAAATAATTACGAAAAAATAATTTATAAAATTAATTAAAGAAACTTAATTACAAAAAAAATAAGAACGAAAAATTAATATTATTATTTTATAAAAGTTATAATTTACTTTGAATAGAAATATATACTACCTCCGTCCAGGGGCGGACCTACAATGGTCCAAGTGGGGTCAAGTGCACCCACTAATTTTTTTTTTCAAATGCTAGCTACAGTACCTAATTTCAATTTATGCACTCCTATTTTACATTTTTGCACTTCTATTTTACACTCCTAGATAACTTTGAGTACAAATTATAAAAGTTTATTTGGGTGGGTTCACATTGTTAGCCACATATACAGGGAATTTCATAGAGTATTTTTTTTTGTTTTGCTCAAGGTATTGCCTTNTATAAAAGTTATAATTTACTTTGAATAGAAATATATACTACCTCCGTCCAGGGGCGGACCTACAATGGTCCAAGTGGGGTCAAGTGCACCCACTAATTTTTTTTTTCAAATGCTAGCTACAGTACCTAATTTCAATTTATGCACTCCTATTTTACATTTTTGCACTTCTATTTTACACTCCTAGATAACTTTGAGTACAAATTATAAAAGTTTATTTGGGTGGGTTCACATTGTTAGCCACATATACAGGGAATTTCATAGAGTATTTTTTTTTGTTTTGCTCAAGGTATTGCCTTAGTTTTCAACAGAGTAGCTTTTATTTATAATTTAGGTATTTTGATTGATTATTTGAAAAAATTAACAATTTTCATTATTTCTTGTTTTGTTAAACTTTTGACTTAATTTTAAAATACGTTTTGTTTTTAATTTCTTTACCAAAGATGAATATTAAAAATAATGAAATTTTGTTTTGTTTTACATAAAATGTAAAATATTTTGGAACCAAAAGAGTAGAAAATATGTGTCCAACATATAAAAAATGAACCCACTCTCACATAACTCTAGGTCCGCCACTGCCTCCGTCCATTGTCTTTGTCCACTTTTGACTTTTGGAACTGTTCATCTAAGCACTTTGACTCATCAAATTCTCTTTATGTGTAAGCCTAACAATAGTCATGTATGATCTTGTTTGATTCGTCTTAACATATAGATTATTAATATATAATTTGTATAATTTTTTAATATACAAATTACAAGATAAAATTGATTAAAGAAGTGCATTGGATGGTGTGCCAAAAGGTAAGTGGACAAAGACAGTAAGACGGAGGGAGTAATTGTTTATTAAAAAAATAAAGATGTAAACATTAGAGTGGTAGTGAGACATTATAAGTGTGAAATGAGTTAGATGATTGAGACAATGAGTGCTCATATGACCCTGAGTAACTACAAATTTAGAGTGAGGGCTGAGGCATTAGAGATAGTCTTACAATTTGTCCAAGTATAACACACACTACATGTGATGAGTGATGACAAGGCGAAGGGGAAGCAACAAAGGTTGAATGGCAAACTTGACAGTTTATTTGTCTAGTTTGACTTTTTCGATTCAAACTGGACAAACTTTGAACTTCAATTAGATAAAAATCGTAATGTGTTTTAACATAAAAATGACTTTATTAAATTTATTGTATTAAAAACTTTCAAAAGTGTATTTCATTAGACTAATATGTAATATAAATTAAGAATAATTGGAGTTTAAAGTTTGTCTAATTTGGCTCGAAAAAATCAAACTGGACAAAATAAATACACTGGGACGGAGGTGGTAATTACTCAAATTAATAAAATCTGGATGTTTGTAACCGAGTAAGCCATTAAAAATAAAGTACGGAGTAAAAAATAAAAAATTTACTACAACAAGTAGTAATGACGCCGCCATACTTTGTTTTAGTGCATGTCGTGGCATTCTTTAAAAAAAGAAAAAAAAGGAAAAATAAAGTAACCTGGAGCCCAAGAAAAGGCTAGGGAAATTAGGTCATCCGGACCTAATTGTGTATCCTCTCTATGTCCCACTTTAGATTACAATATTCCATTTTTGTTGAAATTAAAGAAGAGTCAAATCAATTTTTTCCCCCAAAATTACCCCCCAAATCCCCAAGTATCCTTGCCACTCACATGGATGAATAGTGTGTAAATAGTGTAGGAGTGAGAGGGTAAAAGAGTCAATTCCTTGTAAAGTTATTGACTTTGTAATTCTTTTTGGAACAAAAATGTGAGAAAATATTGTAATCTATTTTGGGACGGAGGGAGTATATAAGTGTGCCTCTCTTCCACAATTTTTATACATTCACTTATTAGAGAAATAGAGAGACACAAAGAATATTTTTGAAAAGTTAACACATAAAATAGATTCTTCTTAAATTTTTTTAAAAGTAAAAAGAGAAGTTTTTTTAAGGGACGGAGGGAGTATTAGTTAGTCAAACAGTTACACGCTTTGACTACAAATTGTGAAATTATACTCCGCCCTTCGTCCCTAAATATTTGTCATACTTGTATTCCCGAGGTAAAATATCATTTTTTTCAATTCATTTTATTTACATATTGGTATAGAAAGAAACAATAAAATTTACATATCAAAAAACTACATGAAAAGTTCTTCGAAATAAGAGGTGTCAAAAATATTTTATTTTATCAAATAGCCAACGAAAACGCAGAAATAGAAATAAACAAACGTTCCGCGACTGCTGAAAAAGCAAATGTTATACGGAGTAAATATTTTGGAACGGAGGGAGTAATTGAAATTTAATATAGTTGGATTCATCTTAGGATATAGTTTTGATATATCAAATTTTATACCATTTCTTCATTTAGATTATACTTAATTTATGGTCAAAACATGTAATTGTTTGACTAAAAATATATCAAAATGGGTAATGTTTTGTGAGACGGATGGAGTAAGTATTTTATTACTACATGTGTCCCCATACGTACTATGCTTTTCTAAGACAACCATAAAAAAAATACTATACGTAAACATATGCCAACTTTATTATCAATTAATACTCCCTCCGTCCCGAAATAGATTACAATATTCCATCACATTTTTGTTTAAAAAAGAATTACAAAGTCAATAACTTTACAAGGAATTAACTCTTTTACCCTCCCACTCCTACACTATTCACACACTATTCATCCATGTGAGTGGAAAGGATACTTGGGGGATTTGGGAGGTAATTTGGGGAAAAAAACTTGATTTGACTCTTCTTTAATTTCAACAAAAAGGGAATATTGTAATCTAAAGTAGGACGGACGAAGTATATACTATTGCCACGTAATAATGCTTAATTACATTTGTATAACTTTTGCATTTTAAATGGTAATAGACTTTTTTATGCACCATACCTGTGAATTACTAGTTAAAAAAAATAGAAGAGTGGAGATGGTTATGATTGACAAAAAATGTACTTCATACATACATACATATGTGTGTGTGTAATGTGTGTGTCAGTGTGTGTGCGCGTGGCCATATGAAGGATTGAGAGTAGTAGCTAATCACATATACTCCGATCCCTCCGTTCCACAAAACTCTTCCTCTTTCGTTTTTTTTGCTTTCCACAAAACACTTCCACTTTCTATTAAAAAACTACTTTTACCCCTACTTTTTCATACCCTATCTATCACATCATACTTTTTCACTAATAACCAAACTATCATATCTTACTTTTTCCCATCACATCAGGGGCAAAATTGGAAAGTCAACCAAAATTACACTTTCCTTATTTTCCCCCAAAAGTCAAAACCGGAAGGGTTTTGTGGAATGGAGGGAGTATTACTTTAGAAGAACTCTAGTTCTATCGTGTGAAGATAAGATTGTAAGTCACTAAGCTAATAGACTGTAAAATCGTGTGGACTTAGTGTCCAGTGTCATTCGGGTAAAAATAATGTACGTACATAGAATCTAGGATATGATTCGTAGGATTGGAGATTCTATCCAATCGACACCATAGGTCCTGAGTTGAGTAGAATTATGGTCGTAGGCAGTGCTTCTGAATCATAGTTTAGACCTGAGTCATGAGCGTAGTAGTGACTCTAAATCCTAAGATAAGATTATAAAAAATGATGAGTTGGCCTTAGCCTAGAATACGTCATGAGCAACGATTAGAGATGAGCTTTTGTAAAAGTTCGTTGCTAAAACTATAACCAATAACGACAAATATTACTCTTTCTGTAGGTCAAATAGTTTTTGCCTTCAAATAATTTTATCTGTCAGTAATATTCTCTTTTTAGCGACAAATAAGGTTTATGTCCTTAAAGATCTGTCGCTATTGCCTTCTTTTATATAGTGACTGTTTTAATCTCTCACTCAACTGAAAGATAATTATTTGTTTTTTTTATTTGCTACACGTAGGTAAAAGAAATATAATTATGAATAAGGAATAAATACTGAAGAGCAGCGGGGATAATTGAGAATATGGATGGATGCTGGCTGAGAAAGTTGCTTAACTTAATATTTCATTTTAATTTATTATGTTTTCAGGCATGGATCCAAAATTGTGTTTGAATTAAGTATTAAAACTTCCGCACTATTTTATATTACTCTGATTTTTTTTTTGAATGCTATTGACGCACAAAGAGCCAATGCTGCTGCCTTCGCTGGAGCTCGAACCTGGGTGAACTTTCCCATGAATCCTGGGGAGTGGGCTTACTACCACTCAAGCCAGGGGAGAAGTTCATATTACTCTGATTAATATTTAAATAATGTATTAAAATAAATGTCTTAAGATCTTTTGAAATATGATATGATGTGTTTGGATGCTAATCTAATAACAACTTGATCCGCTAGTTCATGCATTCATATTACGCAGATTGAGGTGTTACATATAGGGAAATTATGAACATAATTAAATGCTATTTAGGTAATAAAACAGTTTAAATGTTATTTAGGAAAATAACTAAAGTTTTAGTGCTATTTAGTGCAAATATTTCTTACGGGAAATTTTCGCTAAATATATAGTATCACATGTGTTTTTTCCCAATGTAGCACTTTAGTCATTCTCCATTAGTCATTATTCAAACAAATATTAGTCATCACAGGATATTATGGACATTATTAAGTGGTACGGAGTATTTAAGTAATAAAACATTTTAAATGCCATTTAAAAAAATGACTTAAGGTTTAGTGCTAGTGCAAATATTTCTTACATATATATCCTCAAAAAAAGTGAAAAAACTGCTTTAGAGTTACTCACGTGTAGTGTACAAAAATTTACCCTAAAAAGTTACTCTCTCCGTCCCTGAAAACATGAGAATTTTGATTTTAAAGGAGGATTTAAGGGGAGTGTATTTTGGTATTGAATTTCCAAAAATGTCCTTTGATGTGATGGGTAAAAGTATGATTTGATGAATAGAATATTAGTAAAAAGGTATGATGTGATAGGTAGGGTATGAAAAAGTAATGGGTACAAGTGACTTTTTAATAGAAATGAGAAGTGTTTTTTGGGACGGATAAAAAAAGAAAGGAGAAAGGTTTTCAGGGACGAAGGAAGTATTTGAGTTGAATTTATTATGTTTTCACGCATGGATCTAAACTTGTGTTTGAATTAAGTATTAAAACTTCGGCACTCTTTTATATTACTCTCATTAATATTTAAATTAAATGTCTTAAAATCTTTTGAAATATGATGTGTTTGGATGCTAATTATCTAATAACAACCTGATCCGCTAGTTCATGTATTCGTATTACGCGGGTAGCTAGGGTGTTACATATATTCTCACAAAACAACTTTATTTAGAGTTACTCACGTAATCAAGAAGTAAAAATGTACCCTAAGCACGTAATCAAGAAGTAATTAAAGAGGCCGTCATACTAATTGCTTTTAGTGCACGCAGCCATACTAATAATATTAAGAGTTAAATTAAATTAAAAAGGAAATTAGGGCAACTTCTTCGTACCCCGTATATATATGTGTGTGTCTGTGTGGCGTGACTGCCGTCATCAATACTTCCAAACAAATTTCATTATCAAGGTGCGAAGAAGAGAGAGAGAGAGAGAGAGAGAGAGAGAGAG